GCTGTCTCTGGCCTCGCCCCGCCCCATCAGAGGTAAAATCACAGACAAGGACCATGAGGCCTCTTGCTCCCCATGTTTCCTGCCCTGGAAATAGCTTCCTGTACAGATGACTGTCCATACTCCCTAGAGGACTATGTTCCTTGGCCCACCGTGGCTTCTTGAGGGCATGGCTCCATCCATCCACCCATCCATCCATAACTACATCCATCCATCCATCCATAACTACATCCATCCATCCATCCATAACTACATCCATCCATCCATCCATCCATAACTACATCCATCCATCCATCCATCCATAACTACATCCACCCACCCACGCATCCATCCATCCATCGAGTGTAGCTGCGCATGACCGCTATCTCAGAACACAATTTATAACAGACTCTGGGACATTTCGGAATTGTCACTGCAGTGAAGAGCGTGCCCCTGAAGAGCTAACTTCAGGGCTGAAGTCTAGGATTCTCCTGATGAGACCTAAGTCTCTAAGAGCCTTTTGCACCAGGTGGGCTATCTTAGTTAGGGTTTCTATTGCTGTGACAAAACACCATGGCCAAAGAGCAAGCTGGGGAGGAAAGGGTTTACTTGGCTTACACTTCCACATCGCTGTTTATCACTGAAGGAAGTCAGGACAGGAATGCAAGCATGGCAGGAACCTGGAGGCAGGAGCTGATGCAGAGGCCATAGAGGATGCTGCTTATTGGCTTATTCCTCATGCCTTGCTCAGCCTGCTTTCTTATAGATCCCAGGACCACCATCCCAGGGATGGCTCCTCCCACAGTTGACTGGGCCCTCCTCCATCAATCACTAGTTAAGGAAATGCTCTACAGGCTTGTCCACAGCCTGATCTTATGGAGGCATTTTCTTAACTGAGTGTCCCTCCTCTCAGACGATTTAGCTGTGTCAAACCGACAGAAAACTAGCCAGCACATGGGCCAAACATTTATCTCCAGACACATTCCAGGCCCAGGGTCCCCAGGCATTTTGCTCTGTGGGTGTCACTTCCCAGCAGTTGACAAGGCTTTGAGTCTTGCTGGGATGCTTGTTCTGATCTCTCTGCGAGTTGCCTGGGGCTTCTGACTAGAGAGACCTGTAGCCTTCCTCTGGGGACAGACACAGGCTCTAAGACCAGGCTCACAGCCCTGTGCTGGCTCCTCTGCAGGAGTGTCTGTCTCTGGAGTCACAGCTGCTGTTCAATCCCCCCTCCCCCCAATTCTTTCCCAGGCCCACGGAAACACCTCTGGGAGAAGAGTCCTCCAATCTGGTTTCTAAACCAAGTTGGCACAGAGGTGGTTGGCACAGAGGTTAGGAGATCCAAACAGTTCCAGCTGTACCAGTCCCCTCACCCGTCAAGGTATTGCCGTCTTTCTTCCCTCCCTCCATTCTTCCCTCTTTTATTTTCTTCTTCCTTTTTTTTGGACAGGGTCTCACTCTGTGGCCCAAGCTATAGAAGATTCTTCTGCCTCAGCCTCCTGAGTGCTGAGATGTCAAGGCTTGTACCCGAGGCCCGGGGCCTCCTCTTCATTCCTTCTCCGCTGAAGCTGACTTCTTTCTGCTGGTCCCACCCTCCGTGGCCGAGCATTCTGAGCGGCTTTGCCACCCTCGGTAGGTTTTTATTGCCTTATCATTAGGGCTGCCATGAGAAACAGCTCAGTCCATCCGGAGTAGAGGAAGTTCAAGTCGCCGTGATTCATCGGCAGGCTCATGCGCCAAGAGTTTTCGGCACGATCAGAATCGTCTTTGGGGCCGGCCTGTGCGGAGCATGTAGAGGCCAAGGAGTTACTGGCAGCAAAACAAGAGCAAAATTAGCCAGCGTACTTTCAGTCTGTGGCTGCCCGCCAACATTTCCTTCAAAATGTGAACGTTCTTATTTTCATTCGGGAAGTTTTTGTCAGGTTTATTGCAGATGAAAGGGTGGTGAGTGGGCAGGAACAAAGCAAGAGGTGCTGGGCTGGAAGGAACCGATTTTTCACATCAACTCTCCAGAGCACACCAGTGTGTGTGTGTGCCGTTCTGTGGAGACACCAGGCCGCCTTCGTGCAAACTTTAATCCACGCTAGAGACAGTCATACTTTATGACCCAGCTGGGTCTCGATGCCTGAGTGTTTATATGCGTGGTTAATAAGTTGGAATATGTCTGATATGTGTCGAGGGCCATTGAAAGTCACCGTGGAGACATATGCAAGGCAGATGAACGCTGAAGTCTCCAGATAATGAACATTCTAGCGAATTTCACTGACATCAAGTTTTGTGTAACTGTAAACTTTTGAAAACCATGAAATTAAAACGAATGGCTCACAATAGTATAAAAGTAACTGATTTGGTTGGAAAAAAAGAGTTTCCTAACAAAAACAATTTAGTAAATTTAAACCAAACTAAAACACTTTTTAAAATATGCCTGGATTTCAATGTTTGACCACAGATCCTTCCCAGCTTATGAAATTTGTTGAATGAGCCGTTTCATTCTTGAAAAGGACGTTAGGGCACCAATATGCTGGCCATCTCAGATGAAGTGCCCCTCCAGATGAGAAGAGACAGGGTGCTATATTCTCCGGCAACACAGAGAGGGGGTCACCAGGTTGAAAATGACCCCTCCCATGGCAGCATACCATTTAGAGAGAGGGTGTGGGGTCTGGGGTTGTGACTCAGTTGGTGAGTGTCCGCCATGCAGGAACCCTAGGGTTTCATCCCCAGCACCACAGAAAGCAGGCACTGTGACGTGGCTAGAGTCCCAGCAGCAGGGGCAGAAGTTGAAGGACAGCCTTGGCTATATAGTAAGTCTGAGGGATGAGGTGGGGGAGGGAAGAGAGAGAGCACAAGCAATTTTCCTTTATGGATAAACTCATAGCCTCCCACCTTCCTGATCTAGTTAAGCACTCTACCATGAAGCTGGATTCTTAGCCTGAATTCACTCTTTTCTTTTTTTTTAGTTTTTTGAGACAGGGTTTCTCTGTGTAGCCCTGGCTGTCCTGGAACTTACTCTATAGACCAGGCTGGCCTCGAACTCTGAGATCCACCTGACTTTTAATTATGTATACTTATGTGTGGTCATGTGCCTTTAAGTGCAGATGGAGTCCAGAAGTGTTGAATCCCTGACGCTGGAGTTAGAGGCGTTTGTGAGCTGGCCAGTGTGGGTGCTAGAAACTGAACTTGGGTCTTCTGAAAGAGCCTTACTACCTTTTAACTGCTGGGATATCTCTCCAGCCCATTCTTTCTGTTTTCTTCTCTTCTGTTATTGAAGTCATTTTTCACTATGTAGCCTTTGGGTGGTTTAGAACCTGGGTGGCCTTGAACTTGCAGCCATAGCTTCCTGAGTGCTATGGTTACAGGAATGTCTCAACATGCCCAACTGGATTTTGTTTCTTTCTAACTAGTGTGTTAAATTAAAACAAAATGAGTAGACAGACGAATACAATCACAAGTATTCTCCCAGAGGGCCTCTCTTTGCACCGTTTGCCTCTCAGCGGTGCTCAGCTGTGCTCCGTATTCAAGGCTACTCACCAAACAGTCCCACCTGGGGACCTAAACCTCTGTCACCACGGAAAACAATCTGATTCTTGGGCATCAAAGGTCGGCAGTTCATTTTCAGCATCTTAAGACCCACAGAACACCAGTCACACTTTTGGGTGAAGAGATTGGAAGCCGGGCCGACGAGTGAACCCTTACTTTGGATCTGCGCGGTTATTGGAACATTTAAAAATACTGGGGGGAAAAAAACGAGCACTTAGTCTATTTCTGCTTAAAAGACTCCAGAGAAAATAAGCCTAGGTTGGCTCCTGTCTGTGAGCTTGGTGTGAACAGCTCCAGGGAAGCTGGGCACAGCCGAGCAGTGCGGAGGGGCGCGTGGCTGAACCCACGCAGGCTGTGTCTTCCTTCCTGCTCCCCCCTCCACTGTGTTTCTAGTCAGCTTCCTGCTGGAGGGGAGGAACCTCCGAAACTCATGCCCAGAGTGAGAATGGAGGCTCTGAAAACTGGGAGCTCTCTAAACTGGGAGCGAAGGGAGGCGAGGGCGGCCCAGCAGAAGCAGGCTGGATCAAGTGCACCACGAGACCCTACCAGAAATAGCTATACCAGGACCAACCACCAGTCCCTGAGCCAGTGGCTTCCTCAAGTCCCCAAGGCCCTTCAGCTTGGTAGATTCACAGGCAGCTACCAGCCTGTGCCCTCTGCAGTTGTACTGGGCATCTGTGGCTGAGTCATGCTTGTGAGTTAGTGTTGTGTTAAAATGACATCTCAAGGATCTTACAGGTTGTCTCGCCAATGTCTTCCATTACATTCATTTTCTATCTGAAACAGCAACTAGTCCAAAATAAACCAGCAATGAAACTTGAATTTAATTATAATGTATTTTGAATTATTTTTGAAATAAATAATTATAATTTTTGAAAAAATATATTTAGAAAGATTTTCTATATCCAGGAGTACATGATTTTTCTCTGGTACAGAAGAATCATTTGAATATATGCTAGATTTCAGCGCTTCAGTGATGAGCTAACCAGAATGTGCGTTTTTCTAGATTTCAGCGCTTCAGTAATGAGCTAACCAGAATGTGCGTTCTTCTAGGTACACAGCTCAATATTTCCCAGATTCATTCTTCAGAGCACAGCCATGTGTGCATGCATGTGTATGTATACATGTACATACAAGCGCACAGAGGTCAGAAGTCCACACGGAAGGTCTTCCTCAGCCCTTCTCCACCCTATTTTATTTTTCAGATGTGGTCTCTCACTGAACCTAGAGCCACCACTCTGGCTACGCTGGCCAGGACGCCACCAGGATCCTTCTGTTCTCCCTAGCACTGGGGAACACAAGTGCACGCTGCTGCCCCCAGCTTTTTATGTGGGTTCTGGGGTCTGAACTAGGCTGCTCATGTTTGCATAGCAAGCACTTAGCTGCTCCAGGCCATCCAGCAGCCTGGCTTTTGTTTCTTTTTGAATTTGCTTGTTTTCTAGACAAGAGATAGGCAGGTGCAGGTGAGAAGCGTAGCAGGGAGAGAGGAAAGCTCGTTTCCAGAAAACAGTGATTTAAAAAAAAAAAAAGCTACCCGGGTTGTTTATAACCTTCTGTCATTTATTTAATGACAAGAGTGTGCGACGGCCATGGATGGGAAGTCCCAAAGTGTGCAACAAATGCACTTTATAGCACATGCTCACCTTGTCCCTCCGGAGGCATAAAGACATTCTCAACTCTGACAATGTCATGCCTGACAAGGCACACACCACAACGACCCTGTGCCCTGAGTTATGGTGGTGTGAGGTATAGGTGCAAGCAGTGGCAGGCTAAAACCTTCAAGAGAGACACAGGTTGTTACCATTAAAAATCATGATTTATTTGCATGTGTTTGCCACGTGAGTGAAGGTGCTCTCAGAGGAAGAAGAGGGTGTCAGGTCCCCTGAAGTTGGGGTTACACACAGTTGTAATCAGCTTGATGTGGGTGCTGGGAACTGAACACAGGTCCTTGGCAGGAGTAGAACATACTCTTAACCATTGAGTCATCTGTCCACACCAAAAAGAATCTGTTAAGGCTTTGCTTTTCTGTTTGGGTTCATCCACAGCATCATGAGTTCTTTGGTTTAACGCTGTGACTAGAAAAGGTTCATGGGAGCCATGACTGCTGTGCTTGTCTGGTGGTGTCTGGCTCACTCCAAGATGCAGTTTTCAGGACTCCAAGCTGCGGAAGGGTAGAGCTTGGTTGTATTTTCCCTGGATCGAGTGACCCGTTCTTCATCCACATCCAGTTTCCCCTCTTCTGTTAAAGGCTCCCTCGCAGCTGCCAGGACAACTGTGGCGGATCTCATTACAGGTGGTTGTGCACCACCGCGGAGTTGCTGGGGATTGAACTCAAGTTAAGAAGCACTCTTAGCCTCTGATCAGCTCTCCAGCCCATGAAATCAATACTGCGTAACATCACAACAGTGCCTGCCCACCCTGTTGCTAAGGTCTAGCCCCTGTTGCTAAGGTCTAGCTGATGCTCCCCATCCAAACAGGAGAGCAGCAGAGGAGACCAGCAATGAGTGCAGAGGTGGGTGGGTAAGTGGAGAACCGCGCATGTCCTGAGGCTTCATGAGGCTTTGCGTTCCTGAGACAAAGATCCCAAGAGAGAGCGGGAGCCAAGAGTGATTGAAAGCTGGGCTAGCTTGAAACCGGAAGTGTCCTGTAGGACAATCAGAAGAGACAGGAAGAACTAGACAGCAGTGGTCCCGAGGGGGTGGAGTGCAGGCAGCTTCTCAGGTGTGTCTTGAAGGGGACAATGTTTGTGAACAAAATAATGAAAATGAGGACATGGCGCCCTGAGATATGGTGCAGAGAAGGTGTATTGTAAGTATGAGGGAGAGCACAGGCAGAGGCACCTAGAAGAGCTCAGAGTGAACATGGCCAGCGGAGCTGAACAGGCTACGTGGGGGAAGTGGGAAGGGAGAACCAAACTCCAAAAGGCCAGGAGATCAGAAACCAAGAAGAGCCAGCTGCCAAGAGGCAAAATGACTGGGGATATATTGGAATTAGAGAAGATGGGGGAAGGGCAGCCAACCTCTGGGCTGGGGATGCTAGCCAGGGGGTGGGGATTCTAGCCATGAGAACCCTGTAACAGGTAGGGACCGAGGGAGACTGGAGGCCAGAGTCCACTTTGTTTGAGACCTAACAGCCTGTGCCTAGGGAGCTGTAACTATTGACCACTTCTGGGCCCTTCTCTGAGCATGTCACACCCCTCCCTGGTGATGGGAACTTCAAAGTAGCGACCAAACCCATACCCTCCTTCCTTCCTGACCCTACCCAACCTGGAATGATAAGACTTCTTTGTGGTGAGGAAAATGAGGCTGAAGCAGGAGGATCACCACAAGTTCACAGTTAACCTGATCTACATAGCAAGGTCCAGGCTGGCCTGGGATTCATAGAAAGACCCTATCTCATTTTTTTTTAACCTGAAGAAGACACTTGATTGCAGTTTTTCAGAAAATGTCTCTTCCCTTCAGAGACATTCAGGTGAGCCTAGCAGACACCTGGTCAACCAGCAACTGTTTTCAAGGTGGGACGGAGGCTCTTATGGGTGCTAGGTCACTCCTGACTCACCCAACAAAATCAACATGGAGCCGCGTGACTGCTTGTCAGCAGTGAGAGAATTGTGTTCAGTGGCAGACCCACTAAGAATTATGGGTGGCACTCAGGAGCCCTGCCTGAATATGCCAGTCAGGAAACGGACATTACTGTGTACTCCAGGGAGCTGAGTGTCTGGGGTAGCCATCGGGAAAGGTTGTTTCTACCCAGAGCTGCCTCTCAAAGGCTCTCAAGCACATAACAAATCAAAGGGCCCACACCAAGGAAACTCTGGGGCCTCTGGCACACAGTAGGAGCTCAATAAATTCTGGATGAAATTTACTCATCTCTTACAAGTAATTTAACTAAATTGATAATTAAATGATGAGAATTTGAGGGTCCTCAAATATATTTAAATCACACACATAAAACTGTAAATTATAATTTTGAAAAAAAATTTATTTAACTCCATTATTTCCAAGTGGGGATCCTTAAACAGATGGTGAAGGCCTTGCCTACAAGTCAGAATTAGAACTCATCGACCCTCTGGTTATTACAGGTAAGGGGTAGTTTGCTGATCCATGAATTGAAATCTTATGCATTATTAAGAGGGAGGATTTTGTTCATACTCATGTGGAATGCTGTGTGTGTGTGTGTGTGTGTGTGTGTGTAGATTGGTGCTGGGTGCCTTTGCCTTTGGGGTCTCCCACTGACCTCAGAGCTCACTGATTTTGGTAGCTTGCTTTGGGGAATCCCTGTTTTTGCTTCGGCTGTACCAGGATTACAGGAGGGGTGCCACACCCACCCGGCATTTCCAGGGAGCAGAACTCCGGTGTTCACACTTTAAGGCATCCGCTTTCTGGCTGAGCCGCCTGCTCAGCCCCCAAAGTGGAGTTTTATGTGCACTTCTTTTTTCAAAGGAAAGAGGCCACAACTTTAATCAAATTACTAAAGGCTCCTGAGGGGAAAAAAAAACATAAAATATAAAGAATCTCCTGCTTTTAATAAGTGAGGATTCAACAACAGACATTTGGATTGCTTAATTTCAGTTTCCATTGACTTGCAGGCTCAGTGGAAGAGAGTTCCACAGGCTTAGTTACTCAGATACTAACAACTCTTTAGAGTCAGGCTTTTACATTTTTTGTAAAGCAAAGACACACCTGGGATGATTTTAAATGTACATGTAGACAATATGCAAATAAGAACTTTTAAAACACCCCCTTTCACTTGCTGGTTCCTCCAGTCAGCTTTTTTTCCCAGGTCCTTGGGATCTGGTCCATAACAACAGTGTGCAACGGCAAAGAGAAGCAACCATGTGCAAAAGAGATCGGAGATGAAAGAAAAACCACAAATGATAAGTCGTACTGCAGAGATTAGAGGCTGCCTTTCTGGTCTGCAAAGATGTCTCAGTCCCCACGTGCCCTCTGTAGCCTAAGCGCATGTTCCTGTGATCTTCCGCACTTGGGGAGGCTCCTGCAGAAGCACGCAGCACTGCCGGGCAGGGAAGCACCCTGGTCAGTGAGGTGTACGCTGGCTCTCAGCGGACCTTTATGTTGCTCACCAACCAACACTTGACCAACCAGGAAAAGACTTCGGGGGAAGAGGTTCTACACCCTGAAAGAGCCATGCTCTGGCTGCAGATTTAGAAGCACTGCAAACCTTTAAAGATGTGTACAAAATGGCACATGAGCTTTTCTGGGGAGAGATTCCATAACTTACAAACAAAACCAGGGTCTCACGTAGCCCAGGCTGGTCTTGAACTCTGTAGCGAACCTGATGCTGAACTCCTGATCTTCCCTTCACTATCTCCTAAGTAGCGGATAACAGGTGTGGTCACCAAGTGCAGTGAGTTCTGCACCCAGCAGATTTGGAAATGGGGCCTAGAAGAGCAGGAGGCAGCAGCATCCTGGCCCGCAGTCACCAGTCGCCGTGAGATGCGTGCGTCTGGGGCGTCTTTTCAGAAACCCTGTTGTGTTCTCTTAGTCAGTCCCTCCACTAAGATGCTGCACAATCAACTCCTAATGAAGCAGGGGAATTGTCAACTGTACAATGTGTCCTATAGCCTGATCTGTAATGTTCTGTGTAAAAATAAGTATTTCTCAATTAAAGTTGACTGCAGTAGGTGAATTCATCAATATAATAATAATAATAATAATAATAATAAAAATAATATTGCCCCAGAAACAAACAAAACTGGAATTTTGCTTTTTCCTATTTTTAAAGCCATGATGGAAATGAAAAATAAATCTTCCTGTTTTGGCTAAAAGTTGCAGACAATACCAGGGGTGGGCGGAGGGCGGGCCTAATCTAAGGTCGTATCATGCTTTTCACTGAGAAAATACCATGCACCAAAGTTAAGTTTTAGAGTATTTTAATATCCATTTTTTCAGTGGATGCATTTTGAAATTCTTAGAATTAACAAGTTAAAAAGAGCAGAGCAAAGGAAACATGGAAACACAAACAGTTGGTTCTTGCTAATTTAATTTCAGGATCTAGGCATGATGCGATTTTCAAAACAACCAATCAAAAAATGCTGACCTTGAAAATCAAGAGATTCAAGCGCAGACTTTTCTTTGGAAAGTACCGGTGCCTACAGCCCAGGTGATGGTTGCACACTGCCTTTGGCTCTGTGTCATGTGCACATGTGCAGGTGCAGTCCCCAGGAGTGAAGCCAGAGTGAAGGGAGCCATGCGCAGGCGTGGCACAGTCTGTGGGCTCGGCAAGCAGCTTAGGGGCTTATAACTGATGCTCTATGCTCATCTGCGTGGGATAACTGATGTATAAAATCGCTCTGAGCCGGGACCGAGAAGGGAAGCGCAATTGCAACGCCAAGTGACTATTTACACACATTCAGTTCTGGAGTATTGCTTCCTGCCCTAGGTTCCTAAGAAGTATTGCCACCCGAAGGACACCGAGTCCACTGCCTAGAAGCCCAACTGTCTCCAGCTGTTTGTTCAATGCCAACAGACCAGGCTGCGCAGCAGGCGTGCTGCAGAGCCCGTGATTCTGTGTTGAGGTATGCTTTGGGGCAGGGAGCTGGGAAGGCCTCGGGGGCCTGGCACCCTGAAAGAAGAAAGAATGTCTGTGGTTCTTCAGGAAGGCTCAGGGTGTTTCCTAAGAGCATTGCACCCAGCGCGAGCTGCCCTTCATCCAGGGCTCTGTTTGTACAATGCCCAACTGGACTACCTGCTCAAGGCCAACGATTCTCTCCAGCTGGTTTGCAGGTCTATGGTTAGGGGGAGGGCAGGAAAGAATCACAAACGCGTTTGTAGCAGAGAAAGGAAGAAGAGTTTGGGAGGGAAAATGTGCGTAGAGATGAACTTGGTAGAGCACATCTTACCCAGGACTGCAAGGACACCGACAACCAGCTAGCTCCTCGGCTATGCAGCCTAGAGGCAGAACAAGACCGGCACTCACTCAGAGAGCGCACGCCCTAATACTGACAGGCAGAAACCCAACATGCCCTAAATCCTAGGAAAGAATCAGGTAGTGTTTTTAAGAAAAAAAATCTGTGGCATTGTACAAGAATACATTCTTTAGAAGCAAGAGGTATTGTCACAACTGTCTGTTTTTCGAGTTGGAAGACCAACAGGGAGCCAACTGGGATGGAAAGTCTCCCAGTCACTAGGTCCACTCGGGGCCTGGCATGGCTGTGATGCTTGGGTGGCCATCCCAGGAGTCCCAGGGGAAGTTGCTGACTAGAACTAAGATGTCACCTCGCTAGCATCAGCAGGTTCTGTCTGTCTTTGGGCGTGAGTAACAATGTGACAATTATACAGTGAGGTTTACCAGTGAAAGGACACACCACAGGGCACGGCACGAGACCCCCCACCAAACAGAGCTGGCCCTCGGCTGCCTCTGAGCTGCACACCAGCGTCACCTGGAAAATGACGACGACAGGGCACCTGTAGCCTGAGCTCCAATCAGCACAAACTGGAGACTCAGCATGGAAAGACAATTCCAAGCAAGGCTAACAACCATTTTCCTTAGCTTCTCCGTGTCTGGCTGTCTGCACCTCCTTTGGCATACAGATGGTTCTGTCCCCCCATCGGTGCACAGTAAGAAACCCCTCTAGAGAGTCTGACTTGGCCAGCAGAGTTAAATCTTACTGCAGATCAGCAGTTCAACAGTGGCAGGACTGGACAAAAGGGCTGCCAAATCCCACTTGGAGCAGAGCCAGTTTTACTCCGGATCCCCACAAGGGGGAGCAGCACCCTGGGAGGCACCACAGGCCACAGTGGATGAGACATGAAACGCTGAGGGATATCTTGTCATTGATCTGCTGTGTCCTCTGCAAACTGCCCTGCCCACTCCGTTTCCCTCTACCAAAACTACCCTGTGCCCCCTCCCCATAATACACGTTTTGACAAATAAATAAATAAATAAACGCAACCCTCAGATGGCTGAGTGTCTCCCTCAGGCGAGTCGGCTTCTGAGACGAACATCTTCGCTCTTGGCTGGAAGACCCCTCTGTGGAGGATCAGGATGAAACACGGCTTTGAGATTCCTGAGGCCTGGTTTGTGAGCTTTGTGCCTGGTGAGTATAGGAAATCCTGGCCTGCGTGCAGATGAGCCCCTGAAACTGCCCAGTGTTCATGGGCCCAGGTACCCAGAGATGCCAGGAGGGGGCTTGCTGACCTTCCCAGCCCTGCTCCCCTTTATAGCCCCTCCCCCAGATGAGTTACTGGCACTTTATGTCAGATTCATAAATGCAAGTGTGTGCGTGTATGTGCTTAGAAAGGCCAGGTGACTGAAAACACTATTACGTTTATAGAAAAAATAAACTGGAAAACACTGTATGAGGAAAAAAACTTGTGAGAAAAGGCAATAAAAACGGTATCTTAACCACAGCTTTTTTTTTCTTTTTTTCTTGTTTTCTTTTTTTCCCCTAAAGAAGTCAAATAATACCCAGGGCCATGATTCCACCAGTGGCCTCAGCCATAGACTCAAGGCCAAACCCTGAAGGCACTTGTATTCCTCCACAGCTGAACGGATCCCCCAGGCTGGGGGCAGGCTTCCAGGAAAGGGAGAAAAGGAAAGAAGAGAGGGTGGAAATGGACCCCGATAACTGTGATCCACACAGAGATCAGGGCTGAAATGACCACATGACACCACATCCGGGAACAGGAACTGAGGGGCTAGAGAGCACGCCAGCCGGTCAGTACAAATATTATTGTGTGTGGATGAACGGAGCACCTCGTCAGCTCGCCATGCCGCCTCATACACTCTTGGAGACATTGAGCTTGGTGAGCTCATTGGCCTCTTCTATTCCCGTGTCTTTGCACTCCTCCTTCCCTATGGCTTTTCCAAACCGAAACCTTTCCTCAGCTTTGGCCGGCTCTCTCCAGGGCCTCTTAAAGGACAGATGCACTTCCTTGGCCTGTGTGTTGTCATCCGATCCCAAGGAAGTCTTGTCTGAGTACTGAACAGAAGGCACCAAGTTGGCAATCTCGTCCGTGGGAGACCGTCCAATGCTGCCGTCTACCTGCACACGGATGTCTGGGGAGATGGACAGCTGGTGCTGGGGCACGAGCCCATTGTCCATGCACTTTGGGTAAAGGTAGGTCTTCATCTGCCCTTTCCCCTTGACGTTCACAGTCCCGCGGTAGTCAAAGTCATAACCCATCTTGCTCAGCACACGGTAGCTCTCTTCGCTCACCTGGATGCGGCACTCAACACCGGTGGTGTCCATCCTGCTGGCGATGTTGACGGTGTCCCCCCAGATGTCATACAGCAGCTTGGTGGTACCTATGACACCTGCTGTCAGGGGTCCGTGGTTAAAGCCAACCCTGAGCTTGAAGTTGAACCACAACATATTGTTGTTGAAGTCATCAACCACACGCATCATCTCCTTGGCGAATTCAAAAAGGATCCGCAGATGCTCCTGTGGGTGGCCGCCCTCCTGACACTGGGCAGTGTTCAGCCCCGATGCTGCCATGTATGTGGCCCCAATGGTCTTGATCTTCTCGATGCTGTTATAGTCTGGCTTGCTCAGAAGTTCATCAAAGTCCCCGATCAGCTCATTGAGGACCCGGTAGCACTCCTTGCCCCCTTCGTAGTTCTCTTCGTAGAACTCACTGAAGTTGACGATGCTGGCAAAGATCACGCCTCCACTGTCGTGGTTCTTGGAGTACGTCTGGGAGACTTTCAGCTGCTCAGCCACGTGGTAGGGGATGATGTTCCTCAGCAGCCAGTCAGCCTGATCCCTCATGCTCTGGATCTTGGTGCGGTGCAGATCCGCTTCCACGTCCCCATGGTAGTGCAGGCGGTAGCTGACCTCGAACTCTCGGTTGAGAAACCAGACCAAGAGCAGCAGGAGAAAGAAGGTGAGAATGAGCTCCCTGCCTATGAGGCTGGCCGGCCTCCTGCTGTCCGGTAGCAGTGAGCTGTTGCATGGGTTCCTGCTGGCACTGGGGAGCAGAGAGAGGAGAAATGACACAGCTGCTCAGAACACCTCTAAGGAAGTCCCCAAACCCGCTCAGATCGTGAGCCTGCTTTGCTCAGGGTGGCTGAGTATTACCCTTGACATCCCGAGGCCAGAAAGCAGCCTGGTTATTCTGCAGGCTTCAGGGACACTTTTGTTTTATTTACATTTGATTCGGTTTCTTGAAACCAGGTCTCATGCAGCCAAAGTTGACTGTGAACTTGCTATGTAGCTGGAGGCTGGCCTTGCATCCATCCTCCAGCCTCCATACCCACGACAGGCTTGCAGTCCTGACCCACTAAGCCTAGCTCTAACTGCTTTTGAAAAGAATTCATTGGATTAAAAAAGATCTTTTCTTTCTCCTCAACTATTTCTTTTAGACAATCTCAACCTTATGGAAACTTTAAGTTTCATAAAACAAACACCCGGAAGCTCTTCACCTGGATCTGACAACTGTTAAATGTTGCCTCTCTGCTTCTCCTCTCAACACATACAGAGACACACATCACACACACACACACACACACACACACACACACACACACTTTTTCCTAAACATTTTGAAAGTAAGTTGCTGGTCTAACTATTTTAGTGTGCGTCTCCCAAGACAAGGCCATTTGAGACAATCTTAGCGTTTTCAAAAAGAATACGAGATGTGTAACATCTACTGCACATGGTGAGGGTGTCAGTCAGCACAGTGTGGGACAGTCTTTCCTCTGAGGTGACACACAGAGCTATCTGTCGCGGCTGTGGAGGAATCTAAGACAGGGACGCGCCACGCTCACACTGAGGGAGCTGCAGTTACGATGAAACATAACATTTCGGGGAACAGTCCTGTACCCTCGTCTCTTTTTTTCTCTTTTATTCACAGTCTTTTATTTTCTAAGTATAAATTCTGATCACAACTAGAGACTAATTTACACTAGAATAATTCAACTGCATGTCATCATTTCTTATAAAGGCATCTGTGATGTTACATAATGTTTCTTTCTTGAGACTCAGAAATTTACAGAGTTGAATTGTGTGTTCTCTACGTTCTTGGGAGTTATATCCTCCTTTGCATATATTGGGATTGTTGAATAATTTTAAATGTTGTGCATTTAGAATTTAATTAGACATTCCCAAGAACTCCTTTTCAGTGCTGGAGATTGAGCCCAGGCCCTTGCATTTAGGCAAATATTCTCTAAACTATAGCCCTAGCCTTCAAACCATTCTCCTAGAGGCCACACTTCCTGGATTTGCTACACAGCTAAGGCTAACCTTGAACTTCTAATCCTCTTGCTTCCACTTTCCAAGCATACACCACCAAATTTGCTTAGGCTTTTCCCCCCTCTGTTAAAAATACTGCATGCTCAATCATAGAAAATTTGGGGGAAAAGTAGAAATTTAAAAACCGATTCATCCATTGTCCTACTACCCAGGCCAGTTAATGTTAACATTCGCGTTTCCCCTTCCCTCCCTCCCTCCATCCCCTCCTACTTTTAGAGTAACTGCGACTGTTCAGTTTCTATCAGTTTTACAAGTTAATACATTTCTAAACTGCCTGAGGTAGGCTGTTAGATTTTATGTAAAGGTGGACTTGGTGACTGTGTCAATATAAATAGACAGAAAGCTGATGTGTCCTCAGGTGAGATGGTCTAGGGCACAGAAACCTTAATTCCTTAGCCACACTATTTAATTAAAGTTTTATTGTTACCTCTGACATAAGGGTATTTTAAAAGAATGGATTTAGGAAGGCCTGGTGGCACACATCTGTCACCCTAGCACCTTGGAGGCAGAGACAGGAGTGTCAAGAGTTTGAGGTTATCCTTGAGTACACAGCAAGTTCAAGGCCAGCCTGGGCTACCCGAGATCTTATCTCAAAAAAAAAAAAACCACGAAAGACAAGAAAGGAAAAGAAAGGAAAGAAAGAAGAAAGAGGAAGGAAAGAAAGGAAAAGGAAAAGTGAACTTGAGGTCACTGAGACACTCCCCAAAGAGCCGTCACAAAGGCCTGCCGTTGGACTGGTCCTGTGGTTTGCTCTGGTGGAACACCTGGAGAGTATGGGGGTCTCTGGCAAACCACACCTTCCCAGCCGGAACTTGGTGCCAGCTCTGCAGGGGAGGCCACCATCCTCGGAAAGGCTGGGACCGGGGAAAGGTTCCGTCATCCCTGGGTGACAGCCGCCAGCGGTCTCAGGCTGCTTGCACAGGCAGAGCAGTTCATGCTGACCACGCTCTCCCTCCAGGCTTTGTATGTGGCCTGCTATTAAGTCAGCTCTTGACTGAGATCCTCACAGCTCCCCCGGAAGGGCTCCTGAGAGAAGCTTCTCCTCTGCTGATCCCTGCACCGTGCTGAACCCTGGAATCCAGCTAGGCTGACAGGGGACCTGCACGGGTTCACAGCTCAGTGGTCAGGAACGGGACAGAGCTCTCTATGGTAGGATAGCCATGCTTATCTATTTTACTTATTTCATTGAGACAAATGGTAATGCCTCTGATTCTCAAATGCTAAGCAAAGTGACCACTTTGTTTAACTGACTAAAACATGAAGTTCTCTGGCTGGGCTTTTAAGCGGAGCTGGGGAAGGGTCTGGGCTCCTGTGAGCATGGCTTGCTGGTCTGGGGCTAAGTTTCGTTTTGCTTTTTCCAATGTTGCACATCGAACAACAGCCCCCTCTAGTAAGAACAGCAGGCTTAACATTAACTGCTCTAAACCTCAGTGGGAGAAACAGGCCACAGTACCCGTGTTTCCATAATCAATCTCATGCTCTCTCCTCACTTGCCGGACTCAAGCCTGCAGTAATTCTGCTGTTTCAGTTTCCTGGGGAACTGAACTTAGGTCAAAACTGCTGGCAGCAAAGCACCAATGAGTTTTATCATTGGCCCATACCTTTAAAAACACTTTATTAGTGTGTGTGCACGCGTGCGTGCATGCGTGTGTGATAAGTGAATGCAGACACACACATTCCACCTTGCGTGTGTCAAGGTCAGAGGGTAAGTCTGTGGAATCGGTTCTCTTTCTGCATTAAGCAGCCAGTGTTGTACTCTCCGAGCCATTCTGCCCTATACCAGATTTGGTTTTATTTATTTATTTTTTTAACTGCCACTTTATTTTTATTTTTTATTTATTTATTAAAGATTTCTGTCTCTTCCCCGCCACCGCCTCCCATATCCCTCCCCCTCCCCCAATCAACTCCCCCTCTCTCATCAGCCCTAAGAGCAGACCGGGTTCCCTGCCCTGTGAGGAGTCCAAGGACCTCACACCTCCTTCCAGGTCTAGTAAGGTGAACATCCAAACAGCCTAGGCTCCCCACAAAGCCAGTACGTGCAGTAGGATCAAAACCCAGTGCCATTGTTCTTGACTTCTCAGTAGTCCTCATTGTCCTCTATGTTCAGCAAGTCCGGTTTTATCCCAGGCTTTTTTAGACCCAGTCCAGCTGGCCTTGATGAGTTCCCGAAAGAACATCCCCATTGTCTCAGTGTGTGGGTGCACCCCTCATGAAATATTTGGTTTTATTAACAAGGGGTCTCGGGTCACTCAGACTGTCTTGGAATTAACTCACTATGTAGCTGAGGATGACCTTGAACTTTTGATCCTCTTGTCCTCCCTACTTCCAAGTGCTGGGATTATGGCGTGTGGTGAAACAACCAGCAATTCTTATTCTAAGATTGTGGACAAAGGTAGGCAATTCCAGTTCTAGATTCAAATAGCAAAGGCCAGTTTTCAAAGGGAGACTTTTGGTGTGTTAGTGGTTCTGGCGATAAGTGCTCTACCACTGAACTATTCCCAGCTCTTTGATTTTCATTTCCATTTTGAGACAGGGTCTCAAAAAAGTTGCTCAGGCTGGCTTTGAGCTCACTCTGCAGCCCATGCAAGCTTTCCTGCTCTTTTGGCCTACTGCATAGCTGAGATTACAGGTCTGCACCATCATGGCCCAGTCCAAAAGAGGAATTTGAGGTGAATAAATGTAAGAGTTAACTTATAACTGAATGCTGGGACATTAAATCGTGAATGGAAGTTAATAATAATGCATGTCTGTTACCATGCAAAAGAGGGGTTTTAGAATAGAAAAATAAATCAAAGAAACAGAAAACAAGAGGCACTTGCAGCTCTAACCAGCGAGTGAGGCAAGGCAGCTGTTGACATGTTGACATGTGGGGTCTATTAGGGCTGCACATACAGGACCACACTATCACTAGCCTCAAACTCACAGCAATGCCCTTGCCTCAGCTTCCAGAGCCTAGTATCACAGGCTTGCATGCCATGGTCGGCATCGTGTTACTGCTTTTCGAGGGCCCAATATAAGCTGAGTTGAAGATCAGTGGAGGACACTGGCACAGCATGTTCAGTGCCCTGCGTTTGGGTCCCAGGATTGGGAAATGTGGTTAATATGTGATATATTTCTTCTGTGAACTCTGAGTACTTTGTCGAAATTTCATCTGTGTGTGCTTTTTGTTCCACAAATGTTTTTCTGTCTGTTTTGGTTTTCTTTCCCTTCCTCTTTAATTTGTCATCCATTATTTTCCTTGTAACCTATTTATTATTGATAAGACTGGAAGATTATCTGTCTTAAGGGGCATGAAAATTAGTATTTTTCTAATTGTTGTAGTTTAAATATTTGTTTTTATTTTTGTGGTATGCATGTCTGCATGTACTAATACAGGGGCAGGTGTGGCTGTAGATATGAATGGACACAGCACACATAATTTTTACCTGTTCCCCTTCAATTTTTAAATTAAATATTTAACCCTTGCTTTACACTAAACATATAATTCAAATATTAATTATTTCAAATTTCTCATTAGATTATTTATTATCACTGTCTGTCTGTGTGGCATGACGAGGTTGTGTGGAGAGGCCAGGGGAATTGCTTTTCCAACCTCTCTTACATGGGTTCTGGGGATCAAACTCAGGTTGCTGTTCTCATGGTATGCACCTTTAACAGCAGAGCCATTTGGATGGCTTCAAGTCAAAATATTTTAGATGATAAATATTTTCTTTGATTTGTGAGAGTTCCTGCATAACATGCTAAAGTCTTGCATAAAACTAAACTAACTCTAATCAATGACTTACTGACCAATCACCTTCCCAGTAAGATACAACTGTGACTGGACACTTTAACACACAGCTATTGCTTGCTTTCTCAACCCAACACACACTTGTACAGTTTATTTGTGGCATGTGTGCCTTCAGGACACAGAGTGGAGAGACGGCGGCTCTCACAGGCCCAGGTTGAAAGCTTACCTGAAGTTCTGTGCTGTATCCAAGGGTGACATCACTATGGAACTGGAAAGAAAATGTATAAAAATATTATAGAAAACAAAAAAGACATTATTAAACTCAACCCAAGGGTCTGGAGAGATGGCTCAGGGGTTAAGAGCACTGGTTGCTCTTCCAGAGGACCTGAGTTCAATTCCCAGCAACCACATGGTGGCTCACAACTATCTATGGTGGGGATCTGATGCCCTCTTCTGGAATAGAGGAGTACATGCTGATATAGCACTAATATAGATAAATAAATATCTTTAAAAATGTAACGCAAAGTTTTAGTCCTTGAAAGCTATTTAAGATAATAAAGGAAGACAAGTTAGTAGTTAGTCATCTATAATAATCAAACTTGTAGTCATGTTAGGTATGTTTTCAAGGTTAAACAGAGAAATATTTTAGTTAGATAGCTGGTCTTCAAACACTTCTCTTTCGTAAAAGAAAAGGCGAATTCAGGCTTTTGTTTACTACCTGACAAGCACTGAACCCTGGTAGTTCCAGCAACAGCTGGGACTGGGCTGTAGGCTCAGAGGGCCCTCCATGTGGAGGAGGTCATGGTGCGAGGTAACCTACTAATTCCACTCCAAAACCTGCTGTTTGCCTTATAGCAGGAAGGCAGATGGGAGGCCACTACTTTGTCTCTCTGAATCACAAGCCAAAGCTGTGACTAAATGTCACCATGAGTGGTTCACAGCATCTGAGGTTAAAGGCTGTTGAGGAATTCCATACTCTTTGTATAGAGCATTGTAATGGCCAGGAATCCAGATGCCCCACAAAGGCAGGAGGCAGCCTCAGTTCGCTTAATGTAATTCCTTGTCACAGCCTCTCCGCACTGGCTGGCAGCTCCGCTTCAAATTGCCTTTTTCTCTTGGTTTGCAGAGAACATGAATATGTTTCACATTTGCTACAAAACGGTGAGGAAGCCGAGGATAGAGAGTCACTCTGCTCATAGATCACTAGTGCCCTCTGATTACCCAAGGACACAGCTAATAGTGCTGAGCAGCATTCACTACAGCGCTGGTCCACAGTGACAGCAATGACACTCCCAAGGGGCCCCTGGGAAGTGTGGCAGTCCCTGGTTGTGATAATAAGTTAGGGAGCAGGAATGTTAGACATATTAGATGTCCTGCAAAGTATAATGGAGAACTGTCCCCTGCAACTTTAAAACAACCTGCGCCCCCTTCCCCGGTCCCAGCAGATTTATAAACAGGTGGTTCTCTGCTGCACCTGGGAAGCACCGCTCTAAGGAGTTATGAGAAAAGCCTGATATTTAGATGTTACACAAACAGAAGGTTAACTGGCTTAAGAGATCATGAACTGTTGTAAAGTACTAACTGTGAGCATTCTGCTATCCTAGTCTCTATTCCATTTGCAACTATGTACTTAGCTGACAAAGCCAGTTGCTGGTGTAATAGGAAACTTGAGATACATTTTAGCAACTAAGAACAAAGTATGATGCACCTGATGGAACCTGCAGCCGAAAGCAATCTCACTGCTCTTTGCCCACATTGGATGTTTTTATTTTACTTTGTTGACTGGTTGCTTGCTTGGTTTGACTGGATGAGGTCTCACTCTGAGGCCCACACTACCCTCAAACTTCCTGTCTTTCTGTGGTCACCTCCCCTTCACCAGCTCTGGGGTTATAGATGTGAACTCCATGCCTGGCTCTTACAGGGTTTAAATGTCCCTCTAGTTCTATAGCACAGTGAGAACTAGCCCCCAGAGGTCCATCATGTGACTCCAATTCTTCTGTCCACATCACACTTTCTCCTCCTTAGCCCCTGCCAGAAGAATAGTTTTTATTTTTGTTTTATCCATGAAACAGGGTCTCATGTAGCCCGGAAGGCCTCAGACATACAGCCATAAAGACCTTGAACTCCTTCCTGATCCTCCTTCCTCTACATATCACGTGGTTAAGATTATAGGCACATGCCACCAAGTTTGGTTCTTCTAGTATTTTGTTTTGTTTGTTTGTTTTGCTTTTTTTGTTTGTGTGAGGGTATTTTATGCTTTTTAAAAAAGATGCCAGGCGGTAGTGGCGCATGCCTTTTATCCTAGCACTTGGGAGGCAGAGGCAGGTGGATCTCTTTGAGTTCAAGTCCAGCCTGGTCTTCAAGAGCTAGTTCTGGGACAGGCATCAAAGCCACAGAGAAATCCTGTCTCGAAAAACCACAAAAAAGTTTTTATTTATTTATTACATATACAGTGTTCCATCTGTCAGAAGAGGGGATCATATCTCATAATAGTTGGTTGAGAGCCGCCATGAATGCTGGGAATTGAACTCAGGACCCCTGGAAGAGCAATCAGTGTTCTTAACCTCTGAGCCATCTCTCCAGGTTCCGTTTGTGCTTTTTATTCATTTGTTTTTTGAGACAGAGTTTCTTTGTATAATTCTGGCTGTCCTATAACTTGCTCTTTAGACCAGGCTGCCCTCGAAATCACAGAGTTCTGCCTGCCTCTGCCTACTGAGATTAAAGGTCTGTCTCTCCACCATGCTCCCGGCAATCTATTAGTCTGGCTATGTAGCCTAGGCTGGACTCAAATTTGAAATCCTCCTGCCTCGGCTTCCCAAGTACTAGGATTTTAGACCTGCATCCCTCTGGCTTTTCCTCAGCTCTTTCATCATCCTGACTCTCATACCTTTCTTAGATCCCAATTCATAAGTCAGTATCCTACCACAGTCATGTGTCTGGCAGAGGCAGGCACCCAAGGACATCGATATTCAAATATATACAGGTCGAGTTCCCAAATCCAAGCGGCTTGGATCATGCTTGTGGAATTCTGAATATATGCACACAACTGATTATCTTTTAGGGACAGAAACTGAGTCTAAGTCCAAAGTTCACTTGTATTTCTATATATATATATATATATATATATATATATATATTATACACAAAACTGAAAGTAATGTTAAACAAATTTTTAAATAATTTTATGCATTGATCAAAGCTTGTGGACCCTAAGTTATTAGACTTCTGGCATTGGAATCATACCAACACTCAAAAATTTAGATTTTCTAGCATCCAGAGTTGAGGCTTTCAGATTAAGGATGCTCCACCTATGGTATGCTGTTATAAATGGTTTTATCTTTCTCATATCATCCTTATGGCACTTGAGTACTTTTGGGTTTTTTTTGGGGGGGGGGTAGTTAGTCCTGGGGACTGAACTGAGGGCCTTTGCAGGTCAGGCTGGTACTCTTTGGGTACTACGTGTGCTGGAAGCTATTCCACGTCATGATGGAAAACACATCACGCAGCACTGACACGGAGCCACTGCCGAGCCTAAGAGAGGCTAGGCGGGGGAGGCATGAGGTAAGAGTGCGGCCACGTACCTGTCCTGGCACAGGGAGATGTAGAGCAGAAGCAACGGCCCAGCCCCCACGATGGTGGCGAGGGAGGACCTCATCCAGGAGCTGAGCTGGCAGAAGTTACAGTAGTGCACCACAGCCACCAGCACCGCAGAGCCCGTGAACATGGTGGACTGCAAGAGAAGGCTCTGTTAGTGGTCTTCCCAACTCCACGGTGCCTCCACCCTGTCCGCAAAAACACCCATGCTCTGTTCAACATCAAGCATCTCTGCTAACACTTGTGATGCCTGAGTGTAGAGTCCCCCAGAGATGCGTGAGTTTGACAGGGGTGCTATCCTGGGAGGTTTGTGGAATCTTTGTGAAGTAGAGCCTAGCAGGAGGAAGTGGGTCTCTGGAGGGCAGGGCCTTGAGGTTTATGGTCTTTTCCATCTCTGCTTCCCTTCTCTCTGACTGTAAGGAGACATGGAGCCTCAGCCAGAGCCACATCTTGCCCACTATGACACTTTATACCCCGGAGTCCTAAGCCAGAACCAATTCGTTGCTCCTTACAATGTTTCTCATCACACACTGGGTCACGGTGACAAGAAGCAGCCATGAAACATACAGAGGTCTTCCTCTGGGTAACCTACCAGTTTTATATACAGATCACACGTCTGTCCCATAGCGCAGCACATGAGGTTACATGTCCGCACTGCTAGGAGAGTATTCCTCCAGGCATGTAAAATAACATCACTTTGACGGATAGAAAAGAGAAGCTGCTTACTGGGGCCCTATCACTATGGGATCAGTCACCATCTTTAGTCCTGCTAAGAGCACTGAGATGTGAGCTGATGCTAAGACACAGATGCCCCCTAGTGTGGCATGATTAATGAAAACCAAGAGACAGATACTGGGGTTCAACCCGAAGATCAGAAAAGCAAAGCAGCCAAGTCATAGAGAGCTCCTGCCTTTATGAAATCTTCAGACTGAAAGAGAGTGAGTTCCTGTCTCATCCAACCTTATGTTTCTCTCTGGTGCTGGGACTAAAGGCATGCACCACCACCTGGCCTCTATGGCTAACTAGTCAGGCTGCTTGGATTAGAGGTGTGTGCCACCACTGCCTGGCCTATACGGCTGACTAGTGTGGCTGTGTGTGTTCTGATCTTCAGGCAAGTTTTATTTATTAAAATACAAATGAAATATTACTACAGCCTGGTAGCTCTTCTCACACTCGGACATACACTGCAGTAGAGCTCAGCCTAAAGGCCAAGAAGCAAATCTTTCCCACAACTAGCTCATTCTTCATGGAGTTAACTCCAAAGCTCCTTCCCAGAGCAGCAGCTGATCCAGGAGCCTGTCAGCAGCTTTAGCAGACAGGCATATTATCTTGTGTCAAATGGGCTCATGGGGCAGAAGCCTCTTTATAAAGCCTGAGGTACAAATGTGTGCACTGCTGCAGCGCTGCCTCTCAGTACACCCTTCACATACCATTAGGCTGGGGATGTGACTCCGTGGCAGAACACTTGCCACGTATAAGCAAGGTCTTGAGTCTGAGCCTCATCATCCCCCAAATTAAAAACAACAGTGTGACAAATGAAAATTATCATAAATAAAAAGGCATGTAAAGACTCCTAGGCTTCCAAACACCATAGCTTGGTCTAGTTTCACCACGCTCAGAACTCCAACATAATCACACAGATGGACAAAGCCATCCAATACCAGGCCTGTTTGCTCTCTGCTATTCACTGAGCTCTGAAAGTGAAAATAAACAACCTCCATGTGATCTTAGCAAAATGGCTGAAAAGGATGGAAGCGAAATCAGAATTGTTCTTTGGGTATACATCTGCACCACTGTAAGTCCAAAAGGCTGAAGCTCTGAACCACAGGAAGTTGAGACTGTCTGTAATTGATCTGAAACTGATGGATACTGAATGAAGCCTTATACCTACTTTTCCGGCATAGCCGCCAGCACAAGTTTTTGGTGTGTGTGTGTGTCAACACAGGGTGTTGTATATACAGTCTAGACTATCTTCAAATTCTATGTAGTTGAGATGACCCTGAGCTCCTGATGCTCCTGTCTCCACCTTTCAAGTGCTGGGCCACAGGGACACGCCACCACGCCCAGCTCATGCTTTGTGTTTGAGGAGAAGCAGTGACAGAGGACTTTGAGGACTTGTGTGTCATCCCTATCCCAAGGAATCAGACTTAATGTGAGAGAAGGTACTGGGGAGCCGGAAAGCACAGAGAGAAGTTGGTATGCTGCTACTTACATGTATGTTTGTCTCAAACTCAGAGGTGATGTGTGAATAGACAGCCAGGGCAGGGAGAGAAACCAGGACGGCCCCTATGCAGTGTCGAGGGAGCCAGCCAGCGATCCATTCCAGCGACCGTTTTGTGCACATCATGACATGCTCTAGGAAGAACACCATTCTGGGACACAGAGGGCAGAGGATCAGGAGAAGAGGGTTAGCACACCGTGTCTCAATTGTCCCATGTTGCAGTTTCTGATGCTCGGAGTGAGGGGTGCATAGGGCAAAAGACTGTACCCCCTAACTTGTCGGTAAGTGAGTGAATGGCTACACCCAGATCTTCAAACCCAACTGTAAAGTCACCTGCTCCATTTGGGCAAAATACACCTATCAAAAACCTCCGTGGGTCTGTGAAAGAACAGGAACAACTCCAAATTAAGTCTCCTGTGGGTCAGGAAGCCCTGAATGAGGCCTATCTGGAGGTGTTCTAGGAGCACAATGGGAGAAGGTTGTTGTTAGTAGGCAGGGATAGAGATGCCTTGCCAGGGTCATACAGTGACACTCCACTGGGACCCACAAAACCACTTCTACAGTGCTTTTGTTTCCCGGATAATCACACAGAAACTATATTAATTACAACACTGTTTGGCCAATGACTCAGGTATATTCCTAGAGAGCTCTTACATCTTAAATTAACCCATTTCTTTTACTCTAAGTATTGCCAAAAGGCTGTGGCTTCCAGGTAATGTTCTGGCATCTTTCTCCTTTGGCAGCTACATGGCATCTCCCTGACTCCGCCTACTCTCTCTGTATCTTTGTTTGGACTTCCCACCTAGCTTTACTCTGCTAAGCCATTGGCCCAAACAGCTTTATTCATCAGCCAATAAAAGCACCACGTACACAGAGGACGTCCCACATCAGGTAGGTGGAAGAGGACACTGGGATCTCAGGATGGAGACTCTCTTTGGCTTATCGCTGGGGGTATGGACAGGCTCACTGCCTTCACCTTTGGTCAGGAACCACTGTGGTGATCAGTAGCACAGGCATCTTGCATATGCCAGAACTTGCACCTTTGGCTTTAAACCCAAAACAGCTATATTGGCTATGCTTAGCCAGAGCCATGACCAGCAATTCCCTATCCTCTGGCCATTTCCCACAGAGATTCAAGTACACTTTTAGGATCCCTGGGCTGTTCTGGCTTCCTAAAATCTAAATGAAAACAGAAGCCTTGGAACATTATTGAGAAAAACCACAGATATCCTCACAGGTGAGACTCAGAGCCCAGAGACAGGGGGACAAAGGGAGCTGAGTCCCAGCCAGGAGATGGAATGCTCAGAAGACTTCACCATGGTTCCCAAGATCATACAGTTTTAAGGGAAGGCCAGCTGGTTTCAATGCTTTTCTCAGGGCCGGGGTGGAAGGAGGAGGCTCTGAGCTTCCCTGGGCACCTATGTAACCCACCACATAGAAAAACGTCTTTCTGATCTGATATTAGCCTCTTTCCCCAGGGCTGGGGTGGAAGGAGGAGGCTCCGAGCTTCCCTGGACACCTATGTAACCCACCGTGTAGGTCTTTCTGATCCAATATCAGCCTCTCCCCAGGGCTGGAGTGGAAGGAGGAGGCTCCGAGCTTCCCTGGGCACCTATGTAACCCACCGCGTAGGTCTTTCTGATCTGGTCTTAGCCTTTGCCACTGTGACACTGTGTTGTCCACGTAGGAGTAAAGTGGCCAGCTGGCTCACCAGACTCCTACAGAGTGCACAGGTAGGAACACTTCTCTGCAGCTAAGCTCAGGTGGGGCTAATTCTTCCAGACTAGATATTAAGGGACAGGAAACATCGATCAAAGAGCTATAGTAAAAAGACATAGAGACCAGGAGCTCCAGGCTTTCAACAGAAACCTCAAGGGTTTGGGTGTAGGAGAATATACACAGGCATGAGGGGTTTTTTTTGGGGGGGGTGACACAAACGTCTTCAAATTATATTGTGATATTTGTACAACTCTTTAAATTCACTCACTTTAAATAAACTCACTGATTTCTACACTTTTTTTTGGCAGTGCCAGGTATTGAACCCAGGGCCCTGACCCCACCACTGGGCTACCTCCCCAGCCTCTGAATTCTTTATCAGAATGAATGAGTTTATTGCATGTGAACTGTCATAATAAAACTCGTTCTATTTTTAATGTTTGGTTTTCTGAGATTGGGTCTCACAAAGCTTAGACTGGTCTCAAACTTGGCAGCTTGCGAAAGAGGACCTTTGACTTCTGGTCCTTCGGCCTCCATTTTCCAAATGTCTGGGCTTACAGGTACGTACCACAATGCCCAGTTACATGTTCATTTAAAAGACAAAAGGAAAACAATCCAGATCTGGTGGTACAGGCACTCAAGAGGCCGAGGCAAGAAGACCAGGAGTTCAATGCTGGCCTAGGCTACTTAGTGAGACCGTCTGAAAATATAAAGAAAAAAAGACTGGGTGTGTATCTACCTCAGGAGACGACACTTGCCCAGCACGTGTGAGATCCTGGGTTCAATCCCCAGCACCACCAAAACAACCAATACAAAAGAAAGAAAAAGAACATATAGAGGCGGAGGCAGTTCTCGGCCTGAGTTCTGGAGTAGTTCCTGGCAGGATTTGTGTGTGAGCCATTTCTTAGGATGCAGGTGAGTGGGGCTGGAGCAGGGGGCTGCTTGTTGTGGCAGGAGGCTTCGTTCTGAAAGATAATCTAAGCGATGGTGCAGACACATCGTTCCAACTAGGGCTGAGGGCAATCTCAGTAGCTAAGTGGGAACTGCAGGATGGTAGGTAAGAAAGGAAGGAGGTGAGTGTCCCAGCCAGCCCACCTTAAAGGAAGGAAAGATAAACATGGAAGTCTCAGGACCAGAGCTAAGCTGTTTGTTTTTTCTGCTTTGGGGTGTTGCCATTTCTGATTTAGCTCAAGCTCTTGGGGGGCAATTATCAGCGGATTTAGCTAGGCTGATGCATGGCAGGGCTGGTCAAGGTAGTAGGACCACTGTCGCAGTAGTCAGGAGGAGAGCATCTTTTAGGATGGGGATACTTGGCAAGTGAAAGGCTCTGGGTATCCACACCTACTAGAAATGGCAGAGAGCTATGGGCTTCCTAGAACCTTGGGCCGGCCTTTTGCCTGTTTAAAATGGGCTGCTTTATTCTGCTATATGCATAGGTGATTGTCTTATTCGGTCATCATCACAGAAATGTCCTCCTGCAGTAGACAGGAGCACAAAGACCCACAGATGGACAATGTGAAGAGGATCACTCAGTCCTGAATGAGATGTCTGGGGCTGGAGAGCTGGCTCAGCGGATAAGAGCAGCAGCTCTTCCAGAGGTCCTGAGTACAATTTTCAGCACGTCCATGGCGGCTCACAACCACCTGTACTGAGATCTGGTGCCCTCTTCTGACCTGCAGACATGCAAGCAGAATATCTGAACACATAATAAATAAATAAATCTTAAAAAAAATAAATGGATGTCTTTACAAAACCCCTCTCCTCAAGGGTCATTGAGCTATGTAGAACAGGAAGTGGAAATATCGTACGAGCCAGAGAGTATAGACGATTCCAAGAAAACCGTGTCTTCCAGATACAACAGGACTGATGCGCATTTGAACTCAGAGAGACCATGGCAGCCTGCACCATGTGTCCGAGCCAGATGGGATCCCGGATCCCAAAGCTGAGAAGCAGAAGTGGACAGGAGCTCCCATCCCTAACCAAGAAGCTATCTTCAATTGAAAACTGCTTGCAAAGTAAAAATTATTTTCTCCAGGGGAGTCTCACTAGGCATATAAACCATACTCAAGGGTAGGCCCCATGCCCAGCAGTAGATGGCCAACACACAATAAAATCATTGCTACTTTTGTGTTTCTTGTGCTTTCTCTTTCTTTTGGCCTGTTTGTTTTCTAAACAGAAAGAAGAAGGAGGCATGGAGTTGGAATTCGATGGGCTGGGAAGATCTGGGAGGAGACGAAGGAGGGGAAACTGATCAAGAATATATTGTATAAAAATTATTTTCAATTAAAAAAATAAAATGGGCTGTCTGTCCTTTTATTATTGAGCTGTGTGAACTTGGTATGCTATCGGTTTTAGATCCTTGTCACAGATGTGACCTATTATTTCTTCCCACTCTTAGGTGGTTTTTGTTTGTTTTGAGACAGGTCTTGTGTAGCCCAGGTAGCCTTGAACTTGCTAAGTAACCAAGATGGCTTTGAATTTCTGATTCTCCTGCCTCCATCTTCCAAATGCTAGGATTATAGGTGTGTGACACTATGCCAGGTTTCAATGGTATTCTTTTTAACACAACATTTAAGAACCTTTATAAAGTTCAATGTATCTGTTTTTCTGGTGTCATTTCTAAGCAAGTGCTGCCTATTCCAAGCTCAGACATTTGACACAGCTTCCTCAGGTGGGCTGGTCTGGCTCCTAGGTTGGCAAGGACTTCTGCTCCGCTGCTGCCTGACATGTATTCCTGTTGCTCTTCTTCCTCCTGAATGTCTCACTTCTCATTTAGGAGACCCAGGGTCCATGAGGCATCAGCTGGGCTGCACGGGGATTGACCCTCTGTAGTGTCCCACCTGGGTGGAGTGAAGGTCAGTGCCCACAAGGAGGACGGAATGGGCTGAGAGGGAGAAACAGAAGTGCTGTCCTCTTCAGATGCCTGTCCCCTGTGCCGGTTAATCAGCTTTGCCATCAACTGTGGCGCCAGAAGGGGGAGCTAGAGGCTAAACACTGGAGAGTGACTTCTCCAATTGGTGCATACCTGATGGACACTACTAGGGACAGCACCTCCAGCAGCAGGTCTGCACCAAAGATGGCCAGGGCAGCGGGTGGGGGTGGAGTGGCCGTGGCTCCGTACTTTAGGAAGCAGGTGATGGAGAGGATCAGGAACACCGTGGTGGACAGAAACACATCCAGGAGGGAACTGAAGGTGGCGCTGGCAAAAGTCTTCACAGGAGAATTCTTTATGACCTGTTTAGAGCAGGAAAGGACAGGGATGAATGGACCCACAGATGGCAGGAAGTACAGTGTGAGGGACAAGACCAGGCGCTCTCGACTAGGCATAGGCTGGTGCATGCTCCAAGTGGATCATCTCCTCGTTACGGCCACATTTAAAGACAAGGCAGAGAGAAGAAACGTGCCTAGGATCACACAGCAGCAGATTGAAAGTCAACAGACTCTCAAACACATTTGCAGTCACTTAGAAAGACAAGTCACTGTCCTGGAGACCAAGAGTGCACATCTGGAAAGCCGTAGGTGACGGAGGAGTCCAGTAAATGGATGGATGTGAGGGTCGGCTTCACGGGAAGACAGGCAGATAGGAAAGCAGCAGTAGTGGGGAAGTCTCCAGTAGTGGAATGGGAGCACAGAACCTTTATCAAGAGAGCTTTCCAGGGTGGGGATTATTTGTTGTTCCTCCAGAGGACCTGGGTTTGATTTTCAGCACATACATGGTTGTTAAAAACTGTAACTCCAGTTCCTGGGGATCCAGCACCCTCTTCTGACCTCCATGGGCACACGTGGTGCACACACATATACACACAAAAGCAAACACACAAGAAATAAAATAAATGAATCAATTTTTTTAAAGAGATAAAGCCTTTCTGTGTGTGTGTGTGTGTGTGTGTGTGTGTGCATGCGTGCGCGCTGCTCTGGGCTAGCTGGGTGCTGGGTGTAGGGTGGACATGAAACAATGCCTGAAGGGAACTGGTAGCCTGACCGTGGAATACCAAGCACAGGAGACAGGGCACTGTGTGATTTACTGAAGAGGCACATGCGTGTTGCCAGGAAATTAGGAGGAGGAAACTGCTACCACAAGATGTGTCCAAAACATGACCAGTTCTAGACCCTTCTAGGCCCTCACAGTAGCACCATCTCAGTCAGGAGGAGGCGTCACTGCTCCTTGTGTGCAGATGGAGGCTAAGAGTGGCTACCCCCAGGGAACCCCGGGAACCCAGGAATGAGAGCCAGATAAGCTGACTCCCAAGTGCATCCCAGGTCTGTCTTAGGATGAAGAGAGAATGTGGAGACAGGGGCTGCAGAGAACACAGCACACTGCTAATGGGGCTTTGTGTTCAGCCTTGGCAGCAGGGGTCAGGGATGTGGGAGGGAGAGGCCTGTGACCACCTCTCAGCTTAGAACAAGTTCCTTTCAGGTCAAACTGGCTCAGATAGACCCCAGGAACTGCACGAGACGGGGAAACGTCAGGACTTGGCCTTGGGGAATGAGAGCCCTGGTCAGCCAGTGTCAAGCCTGACCTCACTGAGCAAAGTGGCATAGGCTCTGCAGATGGCCTCGGCCTGGCCCTAACTTCTGAGGCTCCCTAAAAAGACCCAAGATCTTGGAGGCGAGGCTGCCACAGTGCCTCCTGTGCAGAGGCTCGGATTTGCCACTGCTCTCTCTGGAATCTAGTTACCATTCCGGGGTCTGAGGAGCCAGGGCTTGGGCAAAGAAGACTCAGGTCAGCCATTCTCACCTAAATACCAAGGTCTCCCAACTTTTCCAACTCTCGGTCTAGAGTGCTAAGGCTCAATACTTCTTGCTTTAGGCAAATACCTGCAGGATTTGTGTTTGGAATGTTGGAGGACACTCACTGTCCAGTAGGGGACGGACAAGGCAACAATTCTAAGCACACAAAGCAAAGACTAGTCATTTCCTGTACATCATGGGTTGGACATAATCAAGATGAAGATTTGCTCAATAAGTAAGTGGAAGCTGAACGAAACCCCTCTTGGTCCTGGGGTCCAGTGATGGTGCCCTTTTGGCTCTGGGACACTCAAGTCAGGCCAAGGGAAAGAGAGCTCCAGTCAGCTCCAGGTTCCTCCACTCATTCCCTCCGAGCATGCCTGCCGGGTATATCTGGTGTGTGGGCTGTGCTGGGATTTAGATAGCACGGAAACAGAGCTCAGTTAGGTCCAGAAATCATGGGGTTCCAACAATGGGGTGCACATGAAGAAGAAAGAGGGCACAGGGAAATAAGAGCCAGCTGGTGTCAAGGATGGCTTCTTGGGGAAAATGATGTGTAGGCTGAGAGGAAAGTTAACCCTTTAACTCAAGGGCACTAAGATGGTGTAAATATGAACCCATATTCTGGATAGAGGTGCAGATCTCCTGATTTTTTTGGTCCTATTTCAGAGGGTTGGAAGTGACAGCACTGTGGGGAGAGAAGAGTCACCAAAAACCTAGAACAGGTGTGACCAGGCATCCTTCCAGGGCAGGGGCAGCAGCTACGGAGGAAACAGTCTGGTGGGGTGTGGCATGGCTTTAAGACAAAGGAGCACAAAGAGCCTTGGTTTTCTCTCTGGCAAAGATAAATTCACATACAGTTCCAAAGCAGGGCTTCCCGGTTGTGGGAAATCAACACCGGGCTTCATTTTCCTGTCACTTGGTAAAGCACAGACGAACAGTTTCCCATGTGAGGTCCCAGGAAGAACGTACCTCTTCCTGGTAACTGGTTCTGTAGGATCGCTCCAACTCCGGATCCAGGAAGTTCAGGCTGAACTGATTGATGGGTGGCTTGAAGAAATAATCTTTCATCAGGCTGGAAGACACAACCAACGCACCCCGTCAACCAGCAGAATCAGTCTCAGATGCCTCTCCCTGAGCACATCACCAAAGCTACCTCTGAAAGCCACTGCGAGACGGGTGCTGTTTCCATCAGCAGACCTTTAGGAAAGCGCTTTGGGTCTCTAGACACAATCAGATGCTGCTTCCCTCCGTTAGGGATGACAATTCACCACCATCACCACACTCTATTAGACCCTGCTTCAGAACACAGTCCACATCTGCAGGACTGCAGGACAGAGAAGGTGGCGCTTTGGTCCTGCGAGACATCTTCTCGGACAGCCAGCAGATCTGGCAGATCTTGTCACTGACAGGCCTTCCACTGATTCGGAGGCGTCAAATGAAGGCAGTTCCAAAAGCTTCCCGTCATCCAGAATATTGACAGTACTTACACCTCAGATCTAACAGGTTGTTACTACCAGTCGGTGTTTACAGCTGGAGTAATTGCGGGGCTATTGTCAGATACTCAGAGTGCAGGTGAGACCTGAAAAGTGATCGTGTTCAATGATGTTAATAGCTGAGAAATCAAACCTGATTTGTATGACTCATTTATTCTTTTGTGGACTGTCAGTATATTGTAATGTCCTTGTTATGATCTGGAGAATTACTTTCAATTTAAGGGAACACTAGTGTGATTTCAGAAGGTAATACGAATATGGGTATACTCTCTCTCCCCCATATCCAGTAGCCACCAGCCTGCCATCATGTAAAACAGGAGGAGAGCCTCAGATGTGGTGTACAGTGGTGCACTCCCTCCTTTTCTTGCTGCAGACTGGATCCTTTTCTGTGAAGAATATGCAATAACGAATCTTCTCAGACTCAAGAGAGGGATGTCTGTCCCTGCACGCTGCTCTGCCAGCCTTTACAATAACAGAGGAAAAACGACACGGCAGCTGCAAAAGGCTTTTGGTGCCTACACTTCAGCATTCGCGTGGCAGAATCAACACTGTTGACGCCGTTTGGCTGTTCTGAAACTATTGGGAGTTCCTGCTTCTGGGTCTCATAGAAAATATAAAAACAACTGCTAGGAAGCACAAGAGAGTAGTCAGGACAGCTGGCAGGAGAGGGGCATGGCTGGAGAAAGGGAAGGAAGCCAGGTACAGTTCTCACCTTTAACCTTCATTTGGTTTTTCCTAGAGACAGACGTGAGTTAGTACCACTGGCTAACCCTCTGATGGAAAAACCTGTAATCCCAGCACTCAGAAGGCCAAGGCAGGAAGACCAAGAGTTTAAGGACACACAGACTATAAATAAGACTGGGGCAGGGGCAGGGAGAAGAGAAAGGAGGAGAGGAAAGGAAGGGGAACGGGAGGAAAGAGACTGTCCCCTTAAGTACTGGGATCTTGGGTTTGCATCACCATGCCTGGCTCTAGAATCCAGTCTTAATGGCTTTAAAAGCTAGAAAATAGGGACTGGGGAGATGGCTCGGCTGTTAAGGGTACTCACGGTTCTTCTAAGGGACCCAGGTTCAGCTGCCAGCACCCATATGGTGGCTCACAATCATCCACAACCCCCACATCGGAGGATCTGATGTCCCCTCTCACCTCCACACATGAAGTACAATGACACATACATGCAGGCAAAACGTTCTAACAAATAAGATAAATATTAAAAAAATTAAGTTAACCCCAAAATTAGACAATATAGTTTGGGGTGACTACAGATAAAGAATGAGGTTATAAATCCCAGAAAGTAAGAGGCAGGAAAGAGGAAGCCCAGATCCTGCATAAAAATTGTTTTCTTATCTAATTCTGACTCCTGGAATTGCATCTTAATTGCACATGAGAGCTAGACTCCAAGCAGCCCAGTTAGAACATTTGAGTTCAGCTAAGTGAACTGTTTACTGAGACAGAAACTTAGTGTTCTTCAAAGAGATACAATGAAATTCAGATTTTCTAAGGGTCACACACAATGTCAGCACAATCCAATGTTACTAGGCTTGCAAAGAATCGGAAAACACAATCCCACATAAAAGAAGTGCAATCACTGTAGATGAACTCAAGACTAGAGAGAGTCTGGGGTAAGAGGGCAGGGACTGCTAATTCATGCAGTGGAACACATGGACAGCGAGAGGAGAGGAACAAGTATACACCGCAAGATGTCCTCATTTAAGATGAAACGATTTAACATTAACTCGAAGTCAACAACAGTCTAAGGATGGCGTCCAAGTTTAGCTTCAGTTGTCAACCTGAGATAATTCAGAGTTATCTGGGGGATTTTCCTGGGAGATTTACCAGATCAGACTGGCAAATGGCCTGTGGTCTTTAAGGCTGATTTGTGTGGGAGGACCCAGGCCACCGTGGACAGTGCCACCCCTGGGCAGGTGGTCCTGGGCTGTATTAAAAATATGAGCCAGGGAGAGAGTCAGGGAGAGAGCCAGGGAGCAGCATTCTTCTAGGGCTTCTGTTTCAGGTGCCTGCCATGATTTCCTGCCCTGACTTCCCTCTATGGGCTGTGACCTGGAGGTAGAAGATGAAATAAACCCTTTCTACCACAAGTTGCTTTTGGTCATGGTGTTTATCACTGCATTAGAATGGAAACCAAAACAGGTATGAGTTTGTAACTCCTGGAGTTACAACTAAACTATGGTCTGGGTGTCTAGCTACCACTAAACTCTCAGAGTACCCCTGGAGAGTCTAATGCTCTTTGCTCAATAATTGGCAGAACAGCAGAAAAGAAGTGAACAAACAGATTATCGGAACAATACTGTCAGTCATCTGGACCTAACTGATGCTTATAGATGATTCTGAAAAATAGTTAAGGATTGACGACACCCAGAATATATATATATATGTATATGTATATATAATATATACATATGTATATATATATATATTTCAAGTGTATATATCTTCACCACAACAAGCCATATATGAGAACATAAAACAAGTCTCAATTTATATGAAATAACTGAAATCACACAGAGCATGTTCTTAGACAACAGCATTAAATAAGTATTAATGAAATATCCAAAACCCATTCAGCATGAAAAGAAGCCAATGCACCTTGGAGAAAAGGGTCATTCCTGAGATAGGGTGGGGAAGGTAGGAAGCAAGCTTGGACCTTCCTGTTGTATTAAAGAGATCACGTCAGACAAACGACAGTCCATGTCGAAAGGACCTGCTCACCAGTTTGAAGGGTGTTGCTGGCCAGAGTCAAGCTTTGGAGTGTAGTAAGCACAAGGTTGGGGCATAGCAGGAGTGCATGAGTTCAGGGTAACGATGGTGGATAGAGGAGGACCGGGAGGGGACCTCCTGACAGTGGCTGCTGAACACCCACGACAGCACTCTGCAAATGGAGCCCACCACTTAACTACCATAGCAAAGACGGCTTCAGGCAAGACTCATCAACAGATGCTGACCTAAGGAAGTTTGACAAGAAGTGGGCTAATTATAAGACCTTCCTTGATTGCCTACAGTCCTAATGAGAAAATAATAACAACAGTTTGGAGAGACTGGGAATACCTCACCCAGTCAAGATGCCTATCACATATTAAGGACCAGCGGGCATCATATCCTCTGGATGTGACATGGGGAGAAGGGTATGATGAACACCACTCTCATTAGCCTAGCCAGAGAAGCAGAACATGAATCTGATAGGAAAAGTCACAAAATCCAACATCCAAGTCTTTCTGTAGAAGAGTTGGTCTGAAAGTTTTTCCAATGTTAGTATCAGAACAGACTAAGCAAGACAGCCAAGGGGCTATCTCCAATTTTAAAAGATTCCAGAGGATTGACCTGTAAAAGATGCAACATAGGAGCCTGGATGAGATCCTGGGCCAGAGGGAGAAAGTGCCACCAAAGATGTGACGGATCATTTGACAATCTGCAATATGGACTTAAGGCTAGAAAGAATATCCTTAAGCAACATCCTTATTTTTAGAAATTGCCATACGAAGGGGTAATGACCACACTGTACCCAACATACTTGCCAACTGGTTCAAAAAATACAAAAAGAGAAAGGGAAGGGAAGGGAACAGAGGGAGGGGGAGAAAAATGAATGATAAGATAAATACAGACTGGGTGTGGTGGCACCCATGTTTGCTAAAGCAGAGAATCTCTACAAGAACAAGGCCATTTTGATCTACATAGTAAGTTCCAGGCTAACCAGGACCACACAGTGAGACCCAGAGTCAACCACTGCTCCCCCAAAAGTTGGGGGAGAGTAAATAAGAACACAGTGCAATGATAAAAACACCACAAAACCCATTTCTACATATGACTCAAAACAATTAATAAAACAATGGGCCGGTGAGATGGCTCCGCAGGTAAGGGATTTGCCACCAAGCCTGACAACCTGCATCTGGCCCTTGACTTGGCCTCCAACATGCATTATACTCACATGCAGGGGCACGCACACTAAAGAAATAAAATAATAATAAAGAAAGAATAAAGAAAATTAAAAAATGACAAAAGATGGTAGATCAGGCAGAGTATATTGTGAATTTCAAGTTTCAAATTACCTCAGAATGAAAATAAAGTAATATAATTACAACAGAGGACAAACACATGGACTGAGACAATTCAGAGAAAGAGCACAACTCCTGCAGACTGCCTCATCACAGCCTGCACAACTGCAGACTGCCTCATCACAGGCCGCACAACTGCAGACTCTGCCTCATCACAGCCTGCACAACTGCAGACTGCCTCATCACAGGCTGCACAACTGCAGACTGCCTCATCACAGGCTGCACAACTGCAGACTCTGCCTCATCACAGGCCGCACAACTGCAGACTGCCTCATCACAGGCTGCACAACTGCAGACTCTGCCTCATCACAGGCCGCACAACTGCAGACTGCCTCATCACAGGCTGCACAACTGCAGACTCTGCCTCATCACAGGCTGCACAACTGCAGACTCTGCCTCATCACAGGCCGCACAACTGCAGACTGCCTCATCACAGGCTGCACAACTGCAGACTCTGCCTCATCACAGGCCGCACAACTGCAGACTGCCTCATCACAGGCTGCACAACTGCAGACTCTGCCTCATCACAGGCTGCACAACTGCAGACTCTGCCTCATCACAGGCCGCACAACTGCAGACTGCCTCATCACAGGCTGCACAACTGCAGACTCTGCCTCATCACAGGCTGCACAACTGCAGACTGCCTCATCACAGGCTGCACAACTGCAGACTCTGCCTCATCACAGGCTGCACAACTGCAGACTCTGCCTCATCACAGGCTGCACAACTGCAGACTCTGCCTCATCACAGGCCGCACAACTGCAGACTCTGCCTCATCACAGGCCGCACAACTGCAGACTGCCTCATCACAGGCCGCACAACTGCAGACTCTGCCTCATCACAGGCTGCACAACTGCAGACTCTGCCTCATCACAGGCTGCACAACTGCAGACTGCCTCATCACAGGCCGCACAACTGCAGACTGCCTCATCACAGGCTGCACAACTGCAGACTGCCTCATCACAGGCCGCACAACTGCAGACTCTGCCTCATCACAGGCCGCACAACTCCTGCAGACTGCCTCATCACAGGCTGCACAACTGCAGACTCTGCCTCATCACAGGCTGCACAACTGCAGACTGCCTCATCACAGGCCGCACAACTGCAGACTGCCTCATCACAGGCCGCACAACTGCAGACTGCCTCATCACAGGCCGCACAACTGCAGACTCTGCCTCATCACAGGCCGCACAACTGCAGACTGCCTCATCACAGGCTGCACAACTGCAGACTCTGCCTCATCACAGGCTGCACAACTGCAGACTCTGCCTCATCACAGGCCGCACAACTGCAGACTGCCTCATCACAGGCTGCACAACTGCAGACTGCCTCATCACAGGCTGCACAACTGCAGACTGCCTCATCACAGGCCGCACGACTGCAGACTCTGCCACCATCACAGACCACACAACTGCAGACTCTGCCTCATTGCAGGCCGCACAACTGCAGATTCTGCCACTATCACAGGCCGCACAACTGCAGACTCTGCCTCATCACAGCCTGCACAACTGCAGACTGCCACCATCGCAGGCTGCACGACTGCAGACTCTGCCTCATCGCAGGCTGCACAACTGCAGACTCTGCCACATTGCTGGCTATGGGGTCTTACCTGTCTTCTTTGATGACATCCACAAAATGGGCATCCGTTTTCTCACGGATGTTCTTGAACCTCAGCGGGAGGAGGGCTGACTGGTCCAAGCTCACACCTGCCCATCGTCCCTTCTCCTGCAGGATCTCACACAGGGAGGTCTGGCTGTTGGTGAGCTTCTCCTCTGGAGGAGGGCTCAGGAGTCCGTTCTGGGTTTTGGAGTTGGGTCCTTCGGAAGCCTGCCTCAGGACAAAGAGGGAGGAGCAGAGGAGTGAAGTACTGGCCAGGAGCACACACTCTTCTCACCCAGCCCGCAGCATGCTGGAGCCTCCAGACGGAGGACTGGGAATCTGTTTCCACCCAACATTCCACTTCTCCCCTTACCCTGCTTTGCTTGAGGCCCTGCTTTGGGACAGGACATGTCTGGGTGTTTGGCAGCCAGAAGAAAAAAGAGGTCTTAGAATATCCATGAGGTGAAAAAGACCAGTGTAACACAGAAAACAGCTACAGGGAAGGTTCTGGGAAAGGAATACCCAGGCTTCTGGATGAAGAATGAACAGGACTTAGTTTGGGGAACCTTTGGCTATGAGAAACATCCCATCTGAGTCCCTTGCTGATACAGGCAGAGGGAGAATGACAGAGAGGGGGTCCCAGGAGCAGTTTCCAGAGTCTCCTGCAGCTCTTTGTTCAGGCTTTCCTCTGCTTTCACTCCAGGCCTGCCCTGGCCTCAAAGCTTTGGCTCCAGGCTATTAGCTCTGCCTCAGGAGCCTCCTTCTAGGGTGCATCTTTTACCTGGAGGAGCCGCTTTGTCCCCTGCGCACCTCTGCATTCTACCAAATAGAAAGCCCAGCCCATAGCCCTGTAACCCAAGCCTCTTGAACTGGTTGCCCCTGAAGAATCAGATCCAGTTCTACTTTACATGGGCTGGCTCTGACTGGCCAATCTTTTTGTTGCTTTATTTTTCTTCAATGCTGGGGATCAAATCTAGGGCCCTGCACATGCAAAATACATGCTCTACCTTCATTACTGAGCTAGACTTCCAGCCCCTCTGTCATTTTAGTTACTGGTCTATTCAAACCACGCCTAGAAGGCATGGAGCACTATTACCTAAGAGAAGCTATTCTGAGAACTAAGAAGTTGACGAGAAGGGAATGTCACCTTAGGTGGATGCGCCAGGAGAGGTACTGACAGGAACAACAGCCATGAGCTTGTTACCTTGGTGCCGGCCTTAGGCTCGTCTTGACAGCCATTTTGCACAGTTCCTCCTTCTGCACCAGCTTCAGATTTAGGAGCAAATGTGATTCCACAAGAAGGGCAAGTCTGAGAGAAAACACAGGGCATAGGAATATACTTGCAAAATACTTCCCTGATACATGATTCAAACATTCCGAGGTTGCTGTTACAACCTGTATTCACACAGAGATGATGGAATCAAGGGGAAGGCTCATTGAACCGCACAGGTTCAGGAAGACCTAGGAACAAACTGGCAGCACAGAATGAAAACAAACTCAGGGCAGCACAGCCAAAAGGAAATACAAATGCCCATGGACTTTGAAGGATCAACCACCTGTGCTCATTCATACATGGGGTCGTCACTCAGCCATAATAAATCAAAACCCCAACACCTGCTTCCACACACACAAACCCCTGACACACTATGCTTTCCTTAAAATTAGATTCATAATTTAAAATTAAACAATTTCATGTTTGTATATAGTACATTCTGATTACTCTCAGCCTCATTCTTTTTATCTCCCTCCACTCCTGTCAGTTCCCCTCCTTCCTACGAATCTCTTTCCCATGTTCCCATCTTCTTGCTTTGTGTTGTGACCCACTAGATAAAACACAGGGCATAGGAATGTATGTGCAACCCTGGGTTTGGAATTCTCCACTAGAACCTGGTGGGTTTATCATTGCCCTCTTTCAGAATCTGTCGGTAAGCCACTAAGTTCAGCACAGAGAGATAGAGCCCCATGAGCCCCACCCCATCCATTACTGACTGCTGACAAAGCCAATACTGTGCTTGTCCTGTGCCAGGAACAGAGCTACAGTGTCTGTGTCCATCCTGCAGCCCAGAAATTCCAAGTTTTAGGAAGCTGCTGACCCAGGAAAGCAAAGGTAAGACTCAGTACAGGCAGGTGAGAAGGAGGAAGTCTGTCGTTCTCATATTCAGGAGCTTCGAGTCTCAGTTCAGTTGCTTACTAAGACCACCTTACCTCAGGACCCTCATGTGTAAGATGTAAAAGCCTTTCTTGGAGAGACATTTTAAGGAGTACAGGAGTTCCCGGAACTCGCTCTGTCCTGAACAGAGTTACTTCTACTGTTAAGGTGACGCAGAAGCCTAGGGACTGTCATTGGGATGGCAATGGCTAGTTGTCAATGAGAATGTTTTCTTCTCAGTAAGAACTAGTAAACACTATGATTAATTATGGAAGACTAGATATTATTGGGAAATTAAAATACATAACACTTCATAATCTAAGAGCAAGAGCATGACCCAAGTAAGGGTCCACAGATCACTGCTGCACAAATTAAAGCATAAAGATCCTAAGGAGTTAAGTAGTTTGGGAATCTGATGTAATGCAGACTGAGCATCCATATTCAACTGAAAGATGGAAATATGCATGCCAAAGTAGCTATCATTTATTAATTAGCATATCTGAACAAATACATTAACTCACAGGTAAAGTCTGCTTATATTCTTTAATTTCAACTTTGTGAGCATGTATGCTGGGTTGGGGAGTATACAGGAGTCAGAGGGTAGGTTCACGGAGCTGGTTTTATCCTTCTATTTTTAAGTGGGTTCTGGGGATCACATTCAGACTGCGTGGCAAGCAAGCGCTTTCTCAGGGAGCCATCCCGACGGTGCTGTGCTTACACCCCAAAACTCATGTCCGCAAGACTGAATGCTCCCTTGTTAAATTGATTCAATGATTTGTTTGAGATGGTATCTCAGGTTAGTGGGTTTTTTTTTTGGAGGGGAATAGAGTAAAGACAGGGTTTCTCTATAGCCCTGGCTGTCCTGAAACTCACTCTGTAGACCAAGATAAACTCGAACTCAGAGATCCACCCGCCTCTGCCTCCACAGTGCTGAGATTAAAGGCGTGCGCCACCACCCTGCTACAACAAAATGATTTTAAGACATCTTGTACTGACTGGATTAAAGTTCAAACATTTGCTAATGGACAGTGTTAAGAGTACAGGACTTGCCATGCATCCCCCAGAACCCATTTTTAAAAACAGTCAGGTACAGCTGTGAGCACCTGTAATCCCAGAACTGACAAAGTAGCCACAGGAAGACCCCTGGTCCTTCCTGGTTAGCTACCTGAGATGAATTAGGGAGGGCCAGGTTCAGTGAGACTGACTCTGTCACTAAGATGGGGAGCGACTGAAGGAGATACCTGTCACTGACCTCTAGCCTACACACACGCACACACAATCATCCAATGTCCAGCACAAAGTGACCCTCTGAGCCTCCAATTGGGGATAAGAACCTGTACTGGTTGCAGTGATTGGCTTGCTCCTCCAGGGGGCACACTGAACATTTTATAACCAGTAGTTGACTAAGGAAGGAAAGGGCACAGCTTTGTGGGGACAGGCTGGCCTTATGGTTTAAAAGGCACTAATTTGAGTCAAACCCCTAGGTTCCAAAGATCTGGAAAACGGGAGGGTGAAACAGCAAATAGCTATTATTTCTCCAACAACTTTTAAACATTAAGACTGGAGAAGAGCCTTTCAGCTCAGGGGTTAAAGTCATTGACCCTGACACAGAGGTCCTGCTTCTACCACACAATAGGTGGAAAACCTCTTTAAGCCTTCTTTTACAAAGTCGAGTTTTGTCTACCTAAAGTATATTACTATAAGTGCAAACAGAGGAGGCACGTGTAAAGTATGTCAGAGTATTTCAAGAACAGATTATTATTATTACTATTATTATTATTTTAAAGTCATGATCTCAGAGCTGCAGAGATGGCTCAGTAGCTAAGGGCTCATGCTACTCAATTATGAGGATCACAGTTCAGACCCCAACACCAATGTCAGGAGGCTCTCAAAGACCTGAAACTCCAGCTCCACGGGATCTGACACCCTCTTCTGGCCTCCATGGGATGCCCCCCCCCCACACACACACTTAAAGTAAAGTAAGTATTTTTTTTTAATACATTGTCTCACTATATAGCCCTGGGTGTTATCAAACTCATCACACAGCTTAGTTCAGGTTGTCTCTGAGGTTGTAATCATCCTGCTCCCACACCCTGAGTGTTGGGATTATAGGCATGTAACATCACACACAGCTTCAAAGCAGTTTCATTCTGTGTCCCAGCTCTACTCCGGAGGTACTGACTTCACTGACCCTGAACATTTTGTCTCTATGGAGGGAACTGACTGACGGGTCATTTCTGCCATGGATAAAAGGCTGAACAAGTGGGAACATGGCAGTCATGGGAGACGCTGTCTCAGGGCATTCTCAGCAGGGTGGTAGGTACCAGGGGGGCCTAGACCTGGAGCAGATCATTGCATTGAACTCTGAAAATGGAACTCTGCTAGTCTCCTTCTTTCTCAGCTTCGTTCTTTTGGGGGAGATTTTCTTGATTAAAAGTTTAGAACAAAAGCCAAGAGGAGTGGTGCATGCCTTTAATCCCAGCATTCAGGAGGTAGAAACAGGTGGATCTCTGTGAGTTCGAGGCCAGCCTGGTCTACACAGTGAGTTCCAGGACAGGCTCCAAAGCTACAGAGAAACCCTGTCTTAGAAAAAAAAAAAAAAACCTCAAATTTTCAGAAAAACCCACCCTTCCTGGGAAAGACGCTCTCCTGTCTCAAGACCCCATTCAGTCTGGAGGACCCTCTGTAGCACGAGGCATCTACTACGTACAACGGTGTAGGCTTCGTCTCTTTCTCTACACCCCACAGCCATTTTCCTGTGACTGTTTCTCCAGCCTAATTTCAATCTGAATTAAAACATCTTAAAACCCAGTTTTTGCTGAGCACTTACACAACTGTGAAACTTTCCCCACTCTCCCCTGCAGCTGCTAGCATCTCCATTACTGCCAAGAACCTCCCACCACCCGGAAGAGAGCCTTCCCTATACGCTTTGCGAGGCACAGCTGACTGTGGAGCAAGACTGGCAGACATGTTAGAAAACTTCACTAATTTATACCCAGATCCCAGCACCCACACTGAAAAAGCTAAGAGTGGTCAGAAGCCTGTAATCCTGGTGTTAGAGCTGGGGCAGAGAGCAGAGGACCACTGGGGATTACTGGACAGACAGCCCGGCCAAAAACCATTGTGCTTCAGGTACAAAAAGATAAAAAGCCTTCTGAAGACAGACAGTTAGTTTGTGGACACTGGGGTTGACTCAAGAGCTCCTGAACCCTGACCACTGTGGGGTTTTCCTGTGACAAGGAAGGCCTTCAAAAAATCCCAGAACTTTGATCTGCTAGATAGACCCTGATCACCTGAAATGACCCAAGCTGCTGTAACAGCCATCCAGGCTCTTCTGAGCGTTCTACCCTCACATATACAGTAGAGGGAGTGCTACAATCCCCTAAACAGCATACCTACAGGCCAAGGAGTTTGCTGAGAGTCCTTGGAAACTCACTAAGAGCACACTTCACCTTTCCCCTCCCCCTTGGTGGACATGGGCTCTGAAAGGAGAATCATAACTACCCTTCTAACACACACGGGCACATTTCCAACTGATTCTGACATGCTTCAGTGCACATACCCTAATTCCAGTCAGAATGCATGGCACAGAGTTATTAAAGCAGGGTTGCTGGGTTTTGTTTGCTTTTAATTAAGGCAATTTCCCATTGCAAGATAAATCATTTTGAAGTCAATGCCTGTCCCTTTTCATAAATGCCACAGGAGGAAATGGGGAAGCCTCTTTGGAGGACGAAACATCAGCGAGGTCCTGGATTTGCCTGTTTAGTCTACGGTTTACTAACTAGTTAGCAGAGTGTTCTGATACTAGAAGAAGCATCTTCTCCCATGACGCTTTGAGTTGGACATTGTTGGCTGGAGTAAGGATGACTCTATGACAGCAAACATCACTGAATTCTAAGCTCTTTGTGTCTCACTTTTTTTCCTCTTCAGAAACACCCATGAAACAGGGACAAAAAGTTCCATTTTACACAAGAGGAAACAAGGCAGAGAAGAGAAGGGGCTCACCTATATATAGTCACACAGTTAGAAAGCCATAGAAGAACTATGAGCCCAAGAGAAAAAAAAAAAACTTGACCCTAACCACCACACACTGGGTTCTGCGAGTTGAGAAGAAGACACCAGCTAACGATGCCACCTCTGGCCAGGGCTTTGTCACTTATAAAGATGACATTTGGGCATTTTCAAACAGAAGATTTCTGCTGAGATACAGATTAAGAGGTAAACAGAAATGAATCCTTAGAAAAAGCACAAACAGCAACAGCCACAGAAGGAAAAGTTCCACCATCTTGAGGACAGGAGGCAGACAGGAACACTGGAGGCAGAACCGAGAGTAAACAACTCAGAATTCAGACACAGATCTCCAAGCCGCCTTGGCTAGAGCCACAGAGCACTGGATTACTGAACTTCTCATGTAATTCCTCAACCCTACAGGCTTTGGGACTGAAAAACAAAGGCTGGTTTTTAAAAAACAGAAAACAATCCAAGTAAAGGACAGATTAGATTCGGCTGAGCATGGAGCACAGACTGTAATCCCAGAAGCACGGGCAGGGCAGAGAGATGAGGAGTTCTGGGCCAGTCTGGGCTGCATGGGACCCTATCTTAAGATAAAAAGAAAGAGAAATAAAAAAACAAAATTGTTACTATGTTGTGGAAATATTCCACGAGAAAAACAAAATGAGGGAAATATTTTGTATTTTGGGAAATTTCACTTACACATAGCCCTGCACATCTGATAACTTCCATTAAACAGTATTATGCATATCTTTCTACTTCAACTAATATTCATAATCTCCTTATTGCATTTTTGTTTATTTATGTTGCATGCATGTTGTGGCATGCCTGTGGGAATCAGGACAACAGTGGGAGTCGTTCTCTTTCCACCATGAGAGTCCTGGGGCCTGAACTCTGCTGTCAGCTTTGGTGATAGGCACCTTTACCTACTGAGTCATCTCAGGGGCTTCAAAATTTCTTTAAAATTATTTTCTGACTTATAATTGAGAGAAAAAAGGTCAAGTGTGCTGCCGCTGCCTTTGCTCTCAGCACTAGGGAGGCTGAGGCAGGAGGATTGTGAGTTTGAGGCTGGTTTGGATTGTATAGCAAGACTGCCTCCCAAATACCTTTCTGATTGTCAGTTCTTGGAAGAGGTAACAATGGCTGCTAATGTAGTCCTGTGGTTAGAGAAATCCTGTCTGTGTTGTTTGACTCAGAATTTCACAAGTCAACCAGACCAGATTCCCCTGCTTCTCACACCTGTGTTAGTCTAGAGGATACACTGCACAAGGGAACATATTTTGAGAGACATCACCTTAAACTAGGCCTCCTCAGGGTACACGCTCGTAAATCCACAAGGAGTTTGCTTTCCTTGACGTGGTCACTGACAAAGAAAAAGCAGCCTGCTGAGGGGAAGTAAACAGATGTTGCGTAGGATCCCAGTTCAGTGGAAGCTCCTGTCAGGGCAGACACTGTCACTAAGGCTACAAGCCAAGGACACCTGTGCAAGGTGTTGACAGGTGTACTGGAGAAACTGGACCAATTTTACCAAATCTCCTACCTGAGAGGGGATCTTATAGGACTGGCCACCATCTTCACTACCTTGGATGCACACTCGGTGTTCTGTGTAATCACAGCACAGTTACCCAGTGCTACTGAATTCTCAGGATGGAAGTCTGCTCACTTCTTGCTGGGGAGATGGGGCTGTAAGGAAGCTTCTGGCAGTAGCTGGTCCATCACGTGGCCTGCCCTTTATCTTTCAGGTACTGTGTACCCCAAATGCGGGATCCAAATGATTCCAATGTCCTGGGACAGCTCTAGTCAGACAAATGCTGACCAAGTGTCCAAACTACCCGTCTAGAACCCAGAAATTATACTTCATGAGCTAACTCAACCTTCTCTCTTAAAAGGGAAACAAAGACCTTCTCTTTTCCTCTCTGACAAATGTCTTGGCAGTTCAGTAGACTTGATGGATCCTATATTCCATTTCCAAGAATTCATGTTGTCTGGAAATGTGCATATGGCAATAGAACATGATAAGTAGTTTCTGCCCTTCAAATCAAAACAAATCTTTACAACTGTAAGAAAATGGTCTTTTAATATAAGAGAAATCTGTCTTAAGGCATAGAATCCTAGAGCTGCCAGTGTTTCATGGGGAACTCAGTCATGTGTGCCCAACAAGCAGATGAACATAGGTCATTAATTTTGAATTTTGAGCTCTATTTTCCTGCTTAAATAAGGCTCAGTTGGAGGCCTGGGGAAAACCATTTTTTCCATATGCAAAAAGAACATTTTTGGGAAGCCACATCTTTAAATCCTTCCCTACCTGTGTTAAGTCTGTAAGGTGGGAACCCCAACTACTGATGGTGAAGTACCTGTCCCCATCTCTAAGGTAGGCAGTTCAGGCAAAGTCAGATATGATGGCTGTCCTGCATATACAGGGTCCACTGCCATCCTAGGCTGTCACCGAGGCCAGTAGCTCAGTGTTCATCCCTTTCTCCCAGGGGACACTGGGCAACATTGGGGACATTTTAGGATCTGACTGAGGTGTTAGTAGGCAGAGGTCAGAGATGGTGCTGACCATCCGGCTACATGCAGCACAGCCGCATACCAGGATTATTTGATCCAATATGTTGAGAAGCTTTATTAAACTCATAAGGCACATGACTACAATGATACACGAGGGCTTTCAATAAACCTGGACACAGCAGCGACCAGAAGTAATCAGGTGATGGGCGCTTAAATACTCCAGCATACTGCCACATTATAGAGCTAGCTTTATTTTTGCTTTTGGAGTCAGGGCCTTGCTCTCTACTTCAGACTGGTTTCAAACTCACAGTAATCCTTCTGCTTCAGCTTCCTGAGTGCTGGAAGTATAGACATAAGCCACTATATCCAGCCTATGCAACTCTAAGCTTATGTACATGCAGCTAGCTCTTAAATCTGCTAAAGAATGTAGGTAAAGTCATAGCAGAACACAGCTGTTACCCTATCATCGTTCTCTTGTTATCGGAAAGCTCCAAACAGCAAAGAATGCTAGAAGTATCTTGCTCTCTTTTTAAAAATGGAAACAGCAAATATTTAAAAGTGAAAATAAACAGAAGGGGTGAGGAAACACCAGTCAGTAAAATGCCTGCTGTGTAAGCACGGGGACCTGCGTTTGATCCTGGCACCCGGTGAAGAACTGGGTCTGGTGACATGCACTTTTACTCCTCTGCTGAGGAGGCGGGGACTGATACCTGTCTGTCAGTCTGGTCTAACTGGTGAGCCCCAGGTACTAGTGAGAAAAAGGGGGGGGGGGGGGAGCGCGGACGGTTCTTGGGGATAGCAGCAGAGGTTGATCTCCGGTCTCCATGCGGATGCATGCTCACACCAACAGGCAACAGAAGCATGCATGCAAACACACACATACACAGAGACAGACAGACAGAGAGACAGACAGAATGAATAAGTAAAAGTAAAAACAAAAACAGTAGGGAAATTAAATCCGATGTGATAATGAAAAACAGCTCTCAATGAGAAAAATTTTTTATGCCCAAAGTTGAGTGTGTTAATTCCCCCAGTAGTTTATTATGACATGTCTGCCCAGTAATATGCACTTCTAGACTACCCCCAGGAAATCTCTATTCCAGTAACAAAATACTAGAATCTTCTCAGCAATGCTCTTTTTTTCAGAGGTTGGAACTGCACTGCAAGATTCACCCATACCAACACAATCAAAAACAATCACAGAATTGCCAGGTAGTGGTAGTGCAGACCTTTAATCCCAGCACTCGGGAGGCAGAGGTAGTCAGATCTCTGAGTTCAAGGCCAGCTTGGTTTACAATGCAAGTTCCAGGATAGCCAGAGCTGCACAGAGAAACCCTGACTTTTATTTTGAAAAACAAAAACAAAGAAAAACAACAACAAAAGAAAGAGAAGAAGGAAGTAAGGAATAAAAAAAGATAATCACAAAATCACAATTTCAAGAGACAGGAGAGTATTTAAGGTGGTCTCCAAAATAAAATAGAGAGTATTTAAGAGAGTAAAATAGAGAGTATTTAAGGTGGTCTCCAAAATAAAATAGATTCCAGCTCTCAGAGCAGATGTGAGGAAATCACCTTTACTGTCATTATCATTATCTTTGAGAGGTCCCCAAAGACACCATAGAGGGGGAAAAAAAAAACTAAAAAAAAGCAAAGTATCTTTATGCGAAGCAGAGGAAATGAGGTGTATAAAATGCTAAAGATGCAAGCATATTAAAATGCACAATGTAACTAACTTTATACTAAACTCTTAAATTATGAAAACTCAATTGAAAGGCATCCTGAGTCATCTGCCATATGGTATTTATTACTTCATGTGTTTTATTGTAGAATTACTACAAAGTCGTAGAAGAGAGAAAGAGAGGAAAAAAAACTAACCTTAAAGTTATCAAAGGTTCTGACAGTCTGGGCCAAGTCACTGACACTCCCTGGCGATGCTGTCCCCTGTCCCCTAAGGCCTGAGGACGCCCGTGAGCCGTCAATGACCTCAAAGCCAGAAAGCAGGGCCTCTGCACAGCTGCAGTGAGACTCCTTGGCTCTCTGGCCCGATATCAGGTATGTCTTCAAACCTATGATGGATAAAAATTACAATCAGCACAGATGGAAAGCACGGTTGGCTGGGATGCAGCTGGGTCTTGCTCTCTGTGGGTGGAGAACACACTCCTAGAAGGTGGAAGTATGGTGACAATGGGGGTACCACAGTTTTCCCAGGCAGACACAGCCTCAGAGACCATTCGCCTCCACGATGCTCCACGTATTTCTATAACGTTTGCGCTGAAGAATGGCTGACTACATGTTTTACCTCTGGGAACTAAAATAAATGTTAACAGCTCTTCCACGAAGGCATCTTGTGTCTGCTGGCTGAAGGAGACAGAAGAGACTGGGGGCTGGCTCCACAGTCTACTTGGCTTGGTTCAGATCTGTAAATACCCACCCCTGATCTCAACACCCGGCAGGGTCCTATATCCAGGAAACTGTCCGGCTGTGCTGCAAAGGAAGACAGAGACAGCTTTTCCTGGAGGAGTGCAGCCCCTGCGCTAGAGAAAAGGCCGAGCAAGCCATGCTGAGCACTCTGTGACGGCAGCCTGTCTCTGCTGCCGCTGTCTTCAAACATGCCTCTGTGCATGTATCCCTGGGGTTGGCTGTGGCTTGGCTTTGGGAAACCAGGTCAGTGTTCATTCACCACGTACTTTATCAAGCACTTCCTGTCTACAGTATATTATCAGAGATGCACCCGAAGAGGGAGCCCAGATGACAGAGGAGCAGGTGTGACAGTGTCACCACCGTGCAGGGCAGGGAGAGATGGGGTGCTCCAGGAGCATGAGAGAGGCCGCCTTGATTGTCCTCTCCAAAACTGGAAGTCCTCTACTATGATGGTATTAAGGGGCAGGGCTACAAGTGAAGGTAAGACTGGGAAGTGCTCCTCCCTCACAGGTGGGTCTGAGGCCCTAGAAAGGCTCTACCTATGTAGTATTGGTAGCTTTTCCTTCAGCCCTGTGAAGACAAGTCTTTCCCTCAGAAGGATACAGTTCTCACCAGATCAAATCAGCACTAAGGCCTTGACCTGAGACTTACAAGCCTTCAGACTATGAGACATAACTTTCTCTTCTTATAAACGACCCAGTCTGTGGTATTCTGTGATGGTAGCACCATTAGACTAAGGCAGAAAGCCTCCTGAACAGCAGGTCCTCCAAGAGACGTCAGCCCAGGCATCCATCCCCAGACAGAGGGGATTTCTAGAATAGTCTGTGGGGATTCCTCCAACGGACTTTGGCAGGTGTAATCATCAGGTGGTGCTGAACTTAATATGGCTGGGACTGTACGTGTGGTGTATAGAGCACGCATGTGTGGGTATGTGATGTTTGTGTGTAGTATGTGTAGTGTGTGTGTGTGGTGTGTGTGGTATGTGTAGTGTGTGTGTGTGTGTGGTGTGTGTGTGATGTGAGTAGTATGTGTATGGTATGTGCATGTGTAGTGTGTGTGTGGTATGTGTTGTGTATGTAGTGTATGGTATGTAGTATGTGCCTGTGTATGTGTGTCTCTAGAGTACATCAAGGATGCCAAAGGGAAGCAAGAAGAAAGAATAAGGAAGGGGCTGGTGGAAAAGACACGACGTGAAGGGTGGTAGCGATGCTTCTGTCAGGAGCCAACACAGGATAGGGTGTGGTGTTTGAAGAGAAGCCCTGAGCATGAGGTTCAGACTCCATCCCCTCGTAACTAGGGGACTAGTCATCTTGTTTTCTCACTTGTGGGATGAGGCTTAGAAGAAGAGCAGCCCGTGAGACTGGGGTAATTGCCGAGGGTCCACATAGGTCTTTACAGCTGTGCTCAGTACGCAGTTTGCCTGATAATGGCAGCTATTACTACCAACGAGGTGTTTGCTCTGCCCATCCAAACCTGTCTCTAACTCAGCTCTTCCTCAGGGAGCTCAAAATGACAATACTGCTTTTGAACAAAAACTGAACCTATGCAGGCATCTAAAGCAAGGGAGAATGGTAGATAAGTAACTTTTTATGCTTCAACATGGAGAGCTAAATTTAAAGTGAGTCCTGCTGCCCACACTAAAGGAACTCAGCATGAAACAGAAACACAGGTTTAGCTGTCCACAATGAGAAAAGTTAAAGGCTTGGCCCTCGTGGAAGTCTTAGGCCTGTGCGTTAATGACTTAGGGGATGATCACACTTACAGACCCTGGCTTCTGATATGACTAGAACAGCTCATCTGGGCTGAAAGGCCCAAATGAGGCAGACAAAGTATTTACTTTGTTAAATGTGCATATACAGGAAAATAATTAGTATTATTTCCTGAAAGCTTTCTTGGCAATTCATTTTTTGCCTCACCAACACTCATATCTTTTATCAGCTTCATTTTACAGGGCTGCAGAGTGGGGAGGGGCTTCCTAATGTGTTCCCACCTAGTGAAAAAAAACCGTACACAGAGCATCACACGGTTCTCCTCCTCGAATATTTTCATCACTCCCTTCCACACTGGGCCCAGTATAAACTAGGCAAGTGCTTCACCACTGAGCCATTCCCATGTGTAATACTTAAAGTTTATTTATTAGCATACATCAACCACGCACAATGGGTTTCATTATGAACTTGCATACATATATACAGTGTATTTTGGTCATATTCACCACCATTGGCCTCTCCTGTTCAGCTTCCACTCTTACTGACTCCCTGTATCTTGTGTTGTGTTGTGTTGTGCTGTGTTGTGTTGCATTGGGTTGTATTTTTGGCAGTCCAGCGAGTTTAATTAGAGTTGCTTACAAGAACATGGGTGAGGAGTTAGTCAAAGAAGCATGGGAAACTAACCAGTTCCTACACAAAGAGAAGGAAATCTCTTTCCCTCTCCCAGGAACCATGAACTACACATCCTTGGATAGTGACAGGGGCTTAGAAAACCCTCTCCCATGTTTTTTCCTTTTCAAATTTTAAGACAGGGTCTTAATACGTTGCTTGGACTAGATTCAGTCTCATTTTGTAGCCCAGCCTCTGCCTCCTAAGTAGCTAGAATTCTAGACCCAACTTTCCTTGTGTCTTTTCTGTGTGTATATGTGTGGTCTATACACATAGAGGCCAGAAGAGGACACTGGGCATCCTGTTCTATTCTTCATCTATTCTTTTGAGACAAATTCTACCATTGAATCTAAACCTAAGGCAGCAGCAAGCAAGTGCCAACAATCCTGCCTCCACCCACCACAACACTGGGGTTACAGCCACACATAGCTTTTTAGGTGATTGCTAGGAATCTGAACTCCAATTCCCATGATTTCACAGCAAGCTCTCGTACCCACTGCGCCATCTCTCCACCCCCCCCCCCCCCAACTAATCTTAAGTATAGTCAATCCTCTTCACTGTGGATTTTTCATCTACAAATTCCACTGTCGAGCAAAACTATTGTTTCAGAAACTGTATTTGCGGAGCTGGAGAAATGGTACGGTGTATAAAATGCTTCATTAGGACTGGAGTTCAGATGCCCAAAACCCATGAGAAAATGAGGTAGATGCGGCAGTTACCTACAATTCCAGCTCTAAGGAGGTAGAGCAAGAGAGTTAACTAGTCTAGCTGATTGATGGCTCTGGGTTCAATTGAGAGACGCTGACTCAATAAATACGTTGGAAGGCTGTGGAAGACACCTAACATCAACTTTAGGCCTTCACATAAACGCATGCACAAGCACTCACATATGAGAACACATATACACAGGCACATCACATGTGTATACATAAAGAACAAAAGAAAAACTGTTTCTGTATTGAACATATACAGACATATCCTATTTAGGGTTTCTATTACTGTGAAGAGACACCATTAGCATGGCAGTTCTTAACAGGGAAACATTTAATGGGAGCCGGCTTACAGGTTCAGGGATTTAGTCCATTCTCGTCATGGCAGGAAGCACGTCAGCGTGCAGGCAGAATGGCGCTGGAGAAGGAGCCGAGAGTTCTATATCTGGACCACCAAGTAGCAGGAAGAGAGAGCCACTGGGCCTGGATTGAGCATTTGGACATAAAGCCCACCCCCAGTGACAAGGCCACACCTCCTAGCAGGTACCGCTCCCTTTGGGGCTATGGGGACCATTTTCATTCAAACCACCACATGGCATTTTTCCTTGTCTATTGTTCAGAAAACTCTGTGTATCAAATACTTACATAGCATTTACACTATATCAGGTATAATGAGCAATCTAGAGATAAAGTATACAGGACAATGTATGTAGATTATATGAAAATATGACATTTTACATAAGAGACATGAACATATTCATATTTTGGTGTCCACAGGGAATCCTCAAACCAATTGCTCCAGGGTGCCAATGGATGACTGTCTTCAATTCCTTGAGGACAAAGACTCTGTCTTGTACACACTGGTGATGGGTTTTAGGGACCAAGTGTATGAATGGGTGGAACAGTTCAGTTCAGAAAAGAAGCATCTTCTAACCTGTCTTCTTCATTGGGGCTCTTGTTTTGGAATGAGTTCCTCAGTCACCAGGACTCTTAGGGACTTGACGGTCAGTGTACCAAAAAGAGAAGAAAAGCCAGGAAAGAGTGCTTAGGACATGACTGGGGCGGGGGTTAAAAGAACAACATAGCAACTGCCTAGAAGCTGATGTCATCACTGATTTAAAACAATAAACACACGAGAAGCAATTAGCTTGGTCTGGCTCATAAACATCCTAAAATGCTTCTTCCCTTTGTCCTGTTTAAAATGGCCAAAAAAAAAATGAAAATTATTTATTAAACTAAAATTCAATTGGTCAATAAGGAAAATAAGAATTAAAAGAATTAACCTATCAAATCACTAAGATCTATGAAGATTTAGATGAAACACTTTTAAACTTTTTAATGTTTCTGGTTAAGAGCAAAAGTTTGGGGAAAAATTCATCTTTTAATAATAAAAACACTCTATATAGGTCAAATTCTTCTACTCCTATGTAAAACTAACTGTGGGAACTAACTTGTGGGCTCAATATTTGACGATAAATCACAGGTTGCATTCAATAGTATGTGTATATGGGTAAGGTTTTATTTGTGAAAAATTTTAAGTCCAAACAATAAAATCAA